TCTAGCTGTCCTCTTAATTTGCTTTTGTTTTAGGTGTGGTTGTTAATAACTGAGTTTGCTGTCCTTTCACTGTTAATCTTTTTTATCTTCTTTTTCTTAGGTAAGTCCCGTAAGGGCTTGGTGATGATGAACTCCTTGAATTTGATCTTATCTGAGAAGCACTTTATCTGTCCTTCCATTCTAAATGAAAGCTTTGCTGGATAGAGCAATCTTGGTTGTAGGTCTTTGGTTTTCATGAGTTGGAATACTTCTTTCCAAGCCCCTTCTTGCCTGTAAGGTCTCTTTTGAGAAATCAGCTGACAGTCTGATGGGAACTCCTTTGTAGGTGACCGTCCCCTTATCTCTTACTGCTTCTAGGATTCTCTCCTTCATTTTAATCTTGGCTAATGTAATGATGATGTGCCTTGGTTTGTTTCTTCTCAGATCCAACTTCTTTGGGACTCTCTGAGCTTCCTGGATTTCCTGGAAGTCTATTTCCTTTTCCAGAATGGGGAAATTCTCTTTTATTATTTGTTCAAATAAGGTTTCCACTGGTGACTGTTCCTCTTCCCCTTCTGGTACCCCTATAATTCGGATGTTGGAGCGTTTAAAGATGTCCTGGAGGTTCCTAAGTCTCTCCTCATTTTTTTGAATTCTTGTTTCTTCATATTTTTCTGTTTGGTCATTTTTTCCTTCCTTCTGGTCCACTCCCTTGATTTGAGTCCCAGTCTCCTTTCCATTACTATTGGTTTCCTGTGCATTTCCATTCATTTCAATTAGTTTAGCCTTCATATGTTCCTCTAATTTGTGACTAAAATCAACCAGTTCTGTGAGCATCCTGATCACCAGTGTTTTGAACTGTGCATCTGAAAGTTTGGCTATTTCTTGGTCACTTAGAGTTATTGGCTCTGGGGCTTTGAGTTCTTCTTGAGCCATGTTTTGGTCTGTTCACACCTGTTATGTATGAGGGGCAGAGCCCTAGGTGTTCACCAGGGTGGGGCCACCCAGGTCGCTGGGTTGTGACACTGTATGTGGGGGTGGGGTCAGAAAGGGAGCAATGGCGGTCCTCTCTGCTCACCCAGTCCGCCTCACCACTTGCCCCTGCCTGTTTATCTGAGTGCAAATGTGCGAGCCCTCCGACCTGCGCCAGGGCCTGCGCGGTCTGTCTCAATGCAGGTCTCTTCACTGGTTTATCTGCGTGCAAGTGCACGACCTCAGACAGCTAGCTGCGCCACGCCTTCTTATAGCTACCCCGCACCTGGGATCCACGCCCTCAGCTGCCTGTGCACCGCCTGGCTCGGGAGATCGTTTTTGCCCGACCCACTCCGCTGCTGGCTTCACCCCTCTCACTAGTGTAGCTGAGTGGTTCGGTCTCCATATTGTTCCATTTTCTGTGATTTGGTTGCATTTATTGTTGTTAAAACTTTGTTGTTTTTAGATTTGGTTGTGTGAGGAAGCAAAGTGTTTACACCTACGCCTCCATCTTGGCGGAAGTGAAATACAAATTTCTAAATATGAAATTGGTAGGTCAAAGTTATAGCATTTCAGATTTTGTTAGATAATGCTGTTTTCTATTTCTGTATAAAAAGCTTACCATAAACTTAGCAGCTTCAAAAACAAAATTGTTAGCTTATAGTTCTGTAGGTTGTAAGTTGGGACTTACACTCAGAGCCTTATGAGGTTGTAATCAAAGTGTTAGCTGGGCTCTACTCCTTTCCAGAGGCTCTGGGGAAGAATCTTTCAAGGTCATTCCTGTTGATTAGCTAAATTCAGTTCCTGTGACTTGAAGGGCTGTTACCCCATTTCTTTACTAGCCGTCAGATGGGGAGCCACTCTCAGCTCCTAGAAGCTGCATGAGACTAACTTAGAGACATGTATGTTTTTCTGATTCATGAAAAGGTAAGATATAGACAAGTTTTTTTCTTTAAAAAAATTTTAAAGAAATTAAAAATTTTTGCATTCACGGCCACTGAGCCCCATCTATCTTCAAAGCCGTCAGTTGAGAATCTATCTCCCCACCCTGCCCCCCAAACCCCTTTCATGCTTTTAATCTCTTTCACCAGTCAGATCCCTTGTATGGGTGCAAGAGATTAAGTTAGGCCTATAGGAAATAATCTTCCTTATATAAAAGTCAACTGACTGAGGACCTCTCACACAGTTCCTTCATAGCAGCATGGAGATTAGTGTTTGAATAACTTGAAGGTGTGTGTCTACTAGAATTAGGACATCTTGGGGGCCATCTCAGAATCCTGCCTACAATTGCTGGCTGCCCTCTGAACGAGTTGCAATAATTTGCACTCCTTCACAAGTGTGTCCATTTCTCTCCATCCCCATTTTTCTATTGGGTTGTTTAATCTTTTTCTTAGGTCTATTATTTGTGATCCAATGACTGGCCACTCGTCATAATTGCATATATTAAATAATTTGAGAATTTAACTATTATTCTTTTATCATTACAATTACATACAAAGGTCTCAGGTACTTACATTTTAGCTGTGAGGTAAATGGTTTCTTCTTTTTTCAGATTCCGTTCTCCAAATTTTTCTTCTCTAATCAAGGGAGAATCCGGGATGCCCAGCACCAGCTTCTGCTTGACAAGGTAACATTGTTCTCTACTTTGACTCAGAACTGTATTACCTTTAGTGAAACAGAACCACTGTGAGGAGGAGTTCAGTCCATATTTGAAGGCTGGCAAAGGAAAGGTGGAAATTGCTACTGAAGGCCACCCCTTATATCCGCACAGATGTTGGCACAGACCTATCCTTTGAGCCAAACCCCTGTCCTGGAGAATTGCATTATGGTCTTCATTTCAGCATGCCCGCCTTTTACTTTAGCTTTAAAATAAGAGAATAGTACTAAGAGTTCTGGAGAGCATCAAGAACCTGTTAGACATCCATGCTGCCCTTACCAGCCTATAGTGACACTACATTAAAGGAAGAGGAGAGGAAGTTGAATGTGGAAAGTAGCCCTGTGCTACTTTGAGAACTGTGCTAAGGACTCTACTTGCTAAGGGCTGATAGTATGAAGACCCAGCCATAGTAATCAGCTCATGGAATGGGAAAGCCCAGGAACAAACATCAGTACCTTTAGTGCTTGCGATTTTAATCAATTTCTCTATTTTAAATTTAGATCTCTTCTATTGGATTCACCCTGGCTGATAAAGTGGATGGCCCATTCTTCCTGGAAATAGATTTTATTGGAGTATTTAATGATCCAGCCCACACAGAAGAATTTGCCTATGAAAATTCTCCAGTGCTTAACCCAAGACTTTTTAAATAGTGATCATGTGATAGTTTTGTATTACTAAACTAGGGTAGTAGTATTTATGATGATAGACAAAATAAAGTATTTCTTTAATGGCATCCAATCAGTGGCTGGTATGTAGTCCCTAAGACAAGGCTAAAGTGCTGCTCCCAAGAGGGACCATCCATATAGAGGGAACACAGCGTGAAACCAGGTTCTAAGCTGTACCTTAACTTAGGGAGTGCAAGTACTATACTGATGCACAGGGGCTATGTAAGGAACTGTTCTCGGTTAGTGAGAATGATTCCTATTAGAAGCAAGTCCTGCATGGTTTCCAAAGCAAGGCGTCTGAGATGACTACCGATGGCCTCCTACCACTCTGTTCCTTAAAGGTTTCTTCTGTTTTCTAGTCCATCTTTGAGGGAGACTGCTGAGAATATGAAGATAAGTCACTGAGAAAAGACACACCTACCATCTTAGTCTGCTCAGGCTGCTATAACAAATTACCGTAGACCAGGTGGCTTAAACACACATACATGCACTCCCCACAGTTCTGGGTGCTGAGTAGTGTTAAGATCAAGGTACCTGCATAGCTGGTGTCTGCCAAGTGTCTGCTTCTTTGGTTATAGACAGCTGCCTTCTTGCTGTATCCTTACAGTGGTCTCCTTCTTAAAAGACACTAATTTCATCACAAGTACTCCACCCTCATGACCTAGTTGCCTTCCAAAGGCCCTCCCACCTCCAAGTACCATCATTTTGGAAATTGGGGTTTAATGTGTGAATTTTGGGGCAACATAGACATGTAATCCATAATGCATAGAGAACTAGTTTTCCAAAAATGCATGATCCTTACCAGTTCTTACTTTATAGTGACTTTGATGTAACCATTAGAGAAACTAAATCAGGTATCAAACTAATGTCCCCTAAACTTCCCCAGTCATTTTAAGCATCACAGAGATTGCATAGACCAAAACTAAGAATGATTAACAGGGTTTTAAATTGATCTTATCATCTTACAGAAAGGAGATAGGAAACTATTATTATAGTCAGAGTAAAGCTATATTATAATTAAGAGTACCCTAAGAGAGCCAAGTTTAAAATAAGAGAATATAAATCATTCAGGTGACTTAGCCCCCCTACAGCCCAGAGTTGGTGCCCCACAACTTCTGGCTTTTCCCAAAACTATAATCACCTTTGGAAGGGAAGAGATTTCAGACTGTTGATGAGATTCAGGAAAATATGACGGGGGAGCTGATGATGATTGGGGGAACTGAGTGAGGTCCAAAGGTGCCTGCTTTGAAGGGGACTGAGGCATCATTGTCCTGTGTACAATGTTTCTTATATCTTCTTCAGTAAATGTCTCCATTTTTCATTTACGTGGCAGGATACTTTCTGGACAGATCTCATGTATACCTAGGTACAGAATTGCTGGGTCATATGATACACATACATTGAACTTTTTAAAGAAACTACTAAACTGGTTTTCAAGGTGGTTATATAATTTCACCTCAGCAGCAATGTATTTTGACAGTTACCCCACGATTTCTTGATTTATCTGATCTCTGCCTCTTGATAGTGAAATCTAAGTTGATTAAGCACCCGGGAGTGTGTCATGTTCTGTGGGTTCAGCGGTGTAGAAATACAGAAGGACACGGTCCCTTCTTCTTGGGGTGGGCAGGGTGGGCAGGGAAGGAGGAGGAGCACCAGTGACCTTGTCCATCTTAGTTGGTCAGCCAAATCTAAGAAGATAATGGTTTACAAAGAATGAATCTGCGACTGTGAGGAAAAATTTTATTCATGAAAATCTGAGGCAGCACAAACTCCAGAAGAGCAAACATGGTTATGATGCTGAGCAACTCCAGTCTCTCCATTAACTAAATAAGATGTAAGTTTGACAGCACAGTAATCCTTAAAGCAGCAATCCTCCAGTTTCAGTATGGCTCCGTATATTGTTAAACAAGCAACGCTAGAATGAGCTACAGAGTTTTTGTTTTTAAGAATATATTGAGTGAGATGGCAATTACATGACATGATCTAAACAAAAGTGTATAAGCTTGAAAAAAAACACTTCAACATGGGTAAACTATTGATGCCATAACCAACCCATATGGCCCCCATTTTCATTAAGGGATTAGATTCTCTAGAGGATGGAGAGGTGACTTTGGCCAGCTTATCCTACTCATGTTCCTACTGTTCAATTTCTACTAAAGCTCGAGGTGTAACTAGTTACCGTCAGGTAAATCCTCTTGCCTAGAAGAGGATCGCAACTATGTTAATAACAGAGCCAGCAGAGGGAACTTGACAATAATGTAGGTCAAGAATATATAGGATGGAACTTAAAAAAATCTATAGGCTGGGTCTCATTAGAAAACTGAGTTGTACTGGGACTTACGTTAAAACCATTTGGAAGATTTTTAGAGTTTTAAGGTAATGAACACATGCTACTTTAGAACAGAGAAAGAAAAAGATCTTTTGACTAAAGTGGGAAAAACAGTACAATATATTTACAAAAAAAGGTTCAGAATGAAGGAATATTTACAGGATGTTAAACTATTAATCTGCAGCCATAATGAGACCCCTTCGAGTTCCCAAAACCTTTGCTTTTTTCTCCTTTCGTTCTTGCTCATGTTTCATGCGTTGCTCCTCCCTAAAAGGCACAAGTGCATGTTAATTAGGCTCTGGTGAAACTCACAACAGACCACTCTAAAGCATCAGTTAGACTAACATCCAAACTTAAATACACTTATAGCTATACTGCTGTCTACCTGGGGGTCTGTGATGAAAATTGCTGCTGTGTCAAAGGGCTGTAAATTGGTATTTCCCACTAATTTAATGAGCATCCTAAAGTCAAGCACAGACCTGAAACTAGAAAGCACCTTGGTGCTTGAACCCAACCCCTGTAGTTTTTGTTTTAATTGATAAATCTCTATCTCTGGAAGTCAAATGTCAAGCTTAAAGTTAACTAGTCTGGTGAAAATGCTGGAACTAGGAACCAGGATCTGACTTTAGCATTAGAAATGGGATTAAGGGAAAAAAAAAAAAGCCCAGAGATCAGTTAATGATTTTAATAGCAAATATAATTAGTAAAGGTCTGGTGGCAGGTGGGTGTGTAGACAAGTCACATGACAGCTAACTCTTATCTCAGGAGGGTTTCATGCAGGGAATCCACTCAAGCTCTGGCTTTAACTTGGTCTTCAGGCAGAAGGAAGCCTCTAAGGATCATCCGTGTAGGGCCCTGCCATCCTGTGCAGGCCCTTGAACCCTGGCAAACCTGGTTCCCCTGAAGTGACGAATTTACATTTGTCTGCACACCGAGGTACCCTGGGCACTTGGACTGGTGACTGGAGGGATATCCAGGTGTGTTGTTTGGGCAGATAGGCTCTGCTTTTATATGTAGTCTTTCAAAATTAAAAGAATTATAGAAGTGGATAATTATATACTGACCTGGTCTGGAGACGAGGTTGTTTGTAAGTTTTCTTGTGGAAGCTAACTCGGCTTACATGCTCATTCAGGGATTTATTTTCTTTAGATTGTCCCCATGGCTTAAGTTTTCCTAGTTTAGAACCAGAGACAAAGACAAATTAATGAAGGCTCTTGTGTATATTCCTAATTTTATACATCTGTGGCTACTTGCTTTCTATCAACATGTATATTTTAATACACATTTGCCAGTATGTCTTTTATTAATTTCAATTTCATAGCCCACACATATAAATTGCATTTTTCTCTAACATTGTTTTCTGCTTTCTCAAAATATTTATTTGTTTATTTATTTTTAGGGGGAAGAGAAGAAGAAAGAAAAAGAAACATCAATCAGTTGCCTCTCACACACACCCCAGCCAGGGGCTGGGCCTGCAACCCGGATGCAACATTTTGCCTCATGGGATGATGTTCAGCCAACTGGACCACACTGGGCAGGGCTGTGTTCTACGTTTTAATCCTTGGAAACTCACAGAGTAAACCTTAATACTAGAAACAAACACACACACACAAAAACTCCCATTACATAGTAATTTAAAAGAAGCCATCGCAACCAAGTAGTTTATCCCAAGGTTGCACTGTATTATGTTTAATATTAAAGTGGTATTTTACCTGTGCAGTTTATTACTATTACACATTAAATTGTATTTAGAATGGAACAAGTGGGATAATTTGTTGGCTTTAGAACTGGGACCAAGTTTCCGAGTGTTATACAGAGCTCCACTTGCAGTGTCTGACCCATGCCCGAGAACCAGTGATTACCCTGTGCAGTTTCCCATTTTATAAAAATGACTGTCGCACCATCACTACCATTCAATCAGTAACTGCTAAAGTACTGCTTAGTTAGTGGTGGTCACAGTCATTCCCACAGCAAACACTTCTTGAGTCCCTGGCACTGTCGTGGGTGCTGAGGACATAAGCAGTAAACCAAGTAGTCAAAATCCTTGCTCTCTTGGGCTGGCGCGCCAGTGGTAGAAGTAGATGATAGTCAACTAAACACAGCATCAGGTGGTGCCATGTGCTGTGAAGAAATGGGGAACAGGCTAAGGAGTAAAGACTGGGAGGCAGGGAGTAAAGGCCTGAGCTCGTGGCAGCTCAGTGGAAGTCCCATTAAAACGAGGGAGCAAGCTATGCAAAGGTCTGTGGACACAGTATTCTGGGTAGAGGAGAGGGATAACAAGTTCAAGGACCTGGAGGTGGCAATGAGCTTGGTGTCTGAGGAGCTCAAACAGCTGTGTGATTGTCCCAAAGTGAGAGAGAGAAGAGAGAACGTGATGACTGAGGTTGGGAGATGGGAAACCTCGGGAGGTTGTAAGCAAGGCAGTAATGTGCTGTTTGACTCTAAGGTTGTAATGGGGCAAAGAGGCTCTTGTAGAAGCCCAAAGAAGAGATGATTGGGACCAAAGTGGAGGGGTGAAAAGCAGTCAGATTAAAGATCTTTTTTAAAGGTAAAGGTAAAAAGACTAGCTCAAAGAGGACTCTGAGGTTTCTGCCCGGACAACTCAGTAGACAACGTATTGGTGAGAGGAGGGGCCACTGCCACAGATGGCAAAACCTGGGGAGAATAAGTGGGTTGTGTGGAGAAGTAAACATTTCTCTTCTTCCTTCTACCACAGATAACCTGACTCTAACAGGTAAATAAGATTTATGTTTTCAGCCCTGGCTGGTGTGGCTCAGTGGATTGAGCACTGGCCTGAGAACCAAAGGGCGGCCAGTTCAATTCCCAGTCAGGGCACGTGCCTGGGTTGCGGGCTGGGTCCCCAGCTGGGGTGTGTGACAGGCAAATGCACACTGATATATCTCTCCTCTTTATCCCTCCCTTCCCCCTCTCTCTATAAATAAATATTTTAAAAAGATTTATGTTTACATTATGTTTGTTTCACTGACATTAGTAATGTAAAGATAAATGTTACATAAGCACGATTATTGTAGGAACTTTTTGTTTTGTTTTAATGTAATTCCAAAAGCAAAGAAAGGTAGATCACATTAACTACTGATATTTTATTTACTTATATATTTTTAACTATTGATATTTTAAACAGATGTAAGAATACTTTCATATATGCCCAAGAATGACCTCTGGTCGCTCAGTGCAGCAGGTGGTTGAACTGGTAGTTTGCAGCTAGCCTGGGATCCTTTGAAAGCTGTGAATAGAACACTCATTTTCCCATAGGCTTACTCCTGAGTTTCTTGATTTGGGCTGAAATTTTATTAATTCTTTGTAGTAACGCGGATTAGAAATTGTCTTTGAATAACAAAAATGTTAACCGAATCAATTATTTAATACTTATTTAATGGACTTTTTTTTAATCATGGGGGGCAGGCAGGAACCCTAGGTGGTCAAGCAGGGTTCCATCTGAGTCTCATGCTCGGATGTGAAACTGGTTAATTGTAAGTCTTCACATGTCTTGTGCTTCAAAACGTCACACATACCTTTGTGTGGCTCATAGGTGAGGGGACGAGACAAACTTGCTTTCAGGTCAAATACTGGTTTCCTACTGGAAACTGGAGTCTGTGCTGCGCCAGCCGACAGCTTGAACGGGGTAAACACTAGAAAAAGCCAACACACAAAACCCGAGGGTGTAGTTAGAGATAAAAAGACCTGCTGTGGTTTTTTTAAATTAAGTATCACTCTCAAGCTTAAAAATACGATCTATACAAACAATTTGAAACAGATATAGGGTAAAAAAGAAAGAGAAAAGAGTAACTGAGGAATAGTTAGTTACTAGATCAGGTGACATTTCCTACATCAGGTGGGAGTTTAGAATCTGGTTTAAAGAATTAACTGGGCAGCTCTGACTGGTGTGGCTCAGCTGGTTGGACACTGTCCTCCAAAGCGAAAGGTCGATGGTTCAATTCCTGGTTAGGCACATGCCTGGGTTGTGGTTTCCGTCCCTGGTGGGGGTGTGTATGAAAAGGCAACTGAACGATGTTTCTCTCCCTCTCTTTCTCCGTCCCTTCCCCTTCTCTAAAAATAAAACCTTTAAAAAACTAAAAAAGAATTAACTGGGTAATTTTTCAAGCTATTTACCTGATATTACTTACCCTTCTTAAAAATTGTATGTCAGTAGTAGCGTTTCCATCAATACAAATATAAAGCCTGCAAGCAACCTAATCATATATAGATGAAAAGATTCATGATTCTGTTTATTATTAACAAAAGCTATTTAAGAATGTGAATTTTTGTACCACAGAAAAAGTATACCAGGATGGTATAATTTAGTAAACCAAGTATTTCTACAGCTGGGCTCCGTACACCTGGCACACATTTACTAGCCATCTCTGCTCGAAGGCTGTACGGGCTACTGTCAAGCCCTTGCTTGTGTAGGTGATGAGAATCTAGGCCCTCCTGGTTGAAACAGAAAAGCACAAAGCCCTGTGTGTAAGCAACCATGCTCTGTCAATATTAAAGAGTGGGAAGGAGGGGATCAATGCCGTTGTCACGGACTGCTGCTGAGAGTGTCAAGTGGTACAATTCAGCGAGTACAGTAAACTTGCATATCCTCACCGGCAGCCCCACTCCACGGTCTAGAGAAATTCTTACACATGTATTCAAGAATGGTCACAATATATAATAACAAAAATTGGAAATAACCATGTCTATCAGCAGTAAAATAGATAAACTGAAATACAAGGTCTGTCTGGAAACAGTCCAGCCATTTGTTGATATAATGAGAATGGTTTGCCTGACATCAATGTAACCTGGCAGCCAAGGTGAGTGGACTGGAAGGCACGTGTGAACAATGACGACCTCACTCCACTAGTCAGTGGGGGTGGTAGACGCTGTTGAGTGAGCATGTGCACTGTGTGGCTGTTGCATTCAAAATGACTGAGTATGGCAACAAATCTGCATCGAATTTTGAATTAAGCTTGAACATTCCTCCATGGAAACTATTTGAATAATTCAGAAGTCAGCAGTTACGGGGAACTGGTGATTGGCATCTTCATCACAACCATGCATAGTATCTTGTGCAGAGTTCTTTGATCACTCAGGTGACTAGCACCCCCTACAGCCCAGATTTGGTGCCCTGCAACTTCTGGCTTTTACCAAAACTAAAATCACCTTTGAAAGAGAAGAGATTTCAGACCACTGATGAGATTCAGAAAAATACAACAGGGGAGCTGATGGCGACTGGGGGAGCTATGTGAGGTCCTATGGCACCAACTTTGAAGGGGACTGAGGTGTCATTGTCCTGTGTACAAGTTTTCTTGTATCTTGTATCTTCAGTAAATGTCTCTACTTTTCATATTACATGGCTAGATACTTTCTGGAGAGACCTCGTATATCCGTATTATTGAAAAACTGAAAATGCATGACCTTGAGCTCATTTATCAATATGAATGATTCCTTTTTTAAATTTAAATCTTATTTTTTACTTTAGACAGAGGGGAAGAGAGGGAGGAGAAACACTGACGCAAGAGAGAAACATCAGTTGTTGCCTTTTATACAGGCCTCAACCAGGGGCTGGATCTGCAGCCCAGGCTTGGGCCCCAATGGGAATTGAACAAACAACCTTTCACTTTGCAGGACAACACCCAGCTGAGCCACACTGGCTGGGGAAATACGGATGATTCTTGAAACATTATGCTGAGTGAAAGAAGCAGTCACAGCAAAAACAAAAACCATACAGTAGGATTTCATATTTACAAAATTCATATTTGATATCTGGGGAATAAAATATTTAACCTCAACTGGGCACAGTCCTGAATTACTTCGAGGAGAAAGCTCGAAACATGGAACACATGAAGTTTCTGCCTCATGCCCTTATCTGAGAGCGTTTGTGAGTCCCTTCCCATTACAAGGGGGGGTGCTCAGTGAGCTGAGGGCACAGTGCTCTCCGTATAATGATAGTGTCGTTTGTCAGGCAAGACCACTCTCCATTTTTTAGCACTGCCCTCTGCCTAAGTCCCTTTCTTCCTTACTACAGAATGATTTAGAATGTTCCATGGAACATTTGCTAGCTGGTATAGATATGAATAAGGATTAGGGTGGGAATGAGAGATCACGTAGAGGAAGAATCATATAAATGTACTATTCCCACCTCTGGTCTTTCTCTTGAAATTCAGTTGTCAGTCTCACTATTCAGTCCTTAATTTAGGTCTCAAAGGCATGAAGAAATCCTCAGAGTCTCCACTCTGAACAACGATCCAGTTGAAGTCCTGCTGGATTCCTCTAGTCTCAGGGAATTGGCAATCCTTTCTGCATAATCAAGGCTCTTGACCGACATATGCAATAGGACTCTCAGGAGAACCTTGACCTACTCACTTCTAACACTGGCCTCAACCTGTTGGTGATACTATTTTAAACATCCATGTGGTTTTACAGTATTCTTTTGAAAACCTGCTGGTCATTGTAGTGATAATGAAGTGGACAGTGTGGATAAGGCACATATAAGGCTCATTCTGGCTTATCCAGTCTGCTAGTCAACACTGAGACCTCTGTTCACGTTAGGTCAGGGTCCTGCAGCACCATCTGGAGGCTGTAATGAATACTGTGATCCTCCTTTTAATCCCCGGGTTTGAGAAGGGGCTGAATGTTCTTTGGGGAGGGTCACCATTGTAGGAGTCCTCTTGGACAGGAAGGACAGAGTCCTCAGGTGGACACCAGTTTTTACTTTGTGTCTCTGGCATTTCCCTCACTTGTATAAAATGAAAAATATGCTACAGTGAAATGTTTGCTTTAGATTTTACACATGTGGAGAGGCTTCAAGGAAACAGATTTACTTAATTTCAGGAAGTTACATGGGTTAAAGGTGAACCAACAGTTTGTTTTTACCTGTAGCAGAATCCCTCTTTGTGGTCTTTAACTGGTTTGTCCCAAGCACAGCCTGGCCTGTCGGGGTATTCCCAGATGCGAGCACGTGTGGAGACTTTCTGGCTGGAGTCTTGGTCAGTGAACGCTTGTACTCATTATCTTTAGTAGCAGCTGAAAACCTAAATGGGACAGTGGAGTACAAGACGTGAGTTGTGCCAAGAGAAACTTATGTCAAGTGTATAAAATACAGCTTATATTCCCTTCTCACCATCTTAGCCAATGACAGTGCAAGGCAGCACCTGAAGGACATGCTGCAGACTGAGTTACACATTAGAAGGTGCTCAAAGGAGCTCCCTTATTTCTCCTCTTCCTGGTGATGGCAGGTTAGAGGGAACTAGAGATTGCTATGTGAGATGAGTGATGGAAACAGACTTACATATCCCTAGAAGAATGTTATTCATTTGCCATAAATGTATTTCATGGGTTCTCTGATACGTAGCTTTCCTACATTTTAATATCTCTGATATTGGGATATATTTTTAAATGATAACATGTCATAGTTAGCTGGCAGTGACCTTTTTTACTGGCCCATAAAATAATGGTGAGTCCTCAGTTGATGGTATCTCACATTCAATGAATACTACTGATGACAGATATAAATGTACGTAAGGTTGGTGGTGGAGGGTTGATAGGGAACCTCTGGACTTGCAACTTATAATTTGATGGTGATCCTGAATCAATACCCTAAATTATTACCAAAGACTCTACAACAGAGCTGGGGAAACTGGATGTGCTCGGTCAGATGCTGTGAAGTCCAGGCTGTTTGAACACTGCAGTAAACCGGGGGATAGACCCCGACCATGGCACTCTGAAACAGGACTAGATACGATCAGAACTGCCGAGTGTAGTAGCTTACATTCCAAGCTGAGTCGGTGAATACAACTCCAAACTCAAGGGCATTTTTAAGTGTTAAAAACTATGCCAGATAATCACACACAGTGGGGATACATTACCATGCACCAGCTCTATCAGATACTACAAATGCTCTTTAAAAAAGAGAGAATATTAAAAGAAAGGAGTGTGCCCTGGCTGGTGGCTCAGTTGGCTGGAGCGTCATTCCATGCACCAGAAGGTTGCGGGTCGGACTCCCAGTCAGGGCATACACTTAGGTTGCAGGTTTGATTCCTGGTTGGGGTGCATATGGGAGGCGACCGATTAATGTTTCTCTCCCCACCCCCTTCCCCTCTCTCTAAAATCAATAAACATAATTTCGGGGGAGGATAAAAATAAATAAATTTAAAAATAAGGAAAAGGAGCATGAAGATCTTCTTCTTTGGGGACAGTCATAGTTGAGGGGTACCCTGATGTCAGGAAAGGTACAAGCAAACCAACAGGGATTGATGGGCATGAGACAGCTATGTTACTGCAGCGCCTGACAGGTACAGCGTTCATACTTTCGGATGTGCCATTTTTTTCAATTCACTGCACTGAGAGATTTTCTGTAGGAATTTAGCTTCAACTTTGTATTTAAGTCAGTGGAAAGATGTCTCTTTACACATCTTTGCAGGTATACCTAAAACTAATGAAATGGAAAATAGTCACATATATCTTATTTTCTATCTTTACTTATGAATCAAATAAATGTGAGCTTAGGAAAGCTGGATAAAAGAAGAAAACCAAATACAAATTTAAAGGAAAAGATCAGAACTTATAAAAGCCACCTGCGGATCTTTTTCTCTGTTCCAATCCTCTTCCTCACTCTTTTTCTATGACCATGAAAACATATCTGATGAAGTCCACCTAATGTGTTTCAGAAGCTGCCGAGCTTTCGGATCTGCCCTCAGCCACACTCTGGAGCTCTTTACCTGACGTTCATTTTAGTCGCGGAGAGAGCGGAGCGCTTGACCGGCCCTCCCGCACACAGGCTGCTCTGATCTGCAGCGCCCCGGGCCCGGCTCTGTGGATGCCGCCGGCTGGCAGGCGTACGAGCTATGGAGAGTCTTCCCTGGAGACCAACTGGAGTTCCCACCACGTCCTTAGTGATGGGCTGCTTCTGAAGAAAGGCAAGTGCACCGTTAATGCTTGACCTCTTAGTATTGTCTCCTTGGCAAAGTGCAGAAGAGCTCCCCCATTTATCCTGTTCAATCCCCACTTTTAACCCCACTACCTCATCCTAACCTCCCTGCTATGGTGACTCTGAATTAACAGTAACTTATGGATGTGCTGAGTAAAGCCATTCCCAATTCCCAAGCACCAAGGTATTTTCTAATTAGAGAAATATAATGTGGCTTAAAGAGATCCTATGGCCAGAAAGGGAGAATAAGTAGGTTGTCTTGGAGATATGGTAACTTTGAGAGCATGACATGCATATTATTACTAAATACAGACTCAAAGAAGAACCTAAAACATGATTAGCAAGTAGAATCTACAAATAATCCTACCCCTACTCCACCCCCACATAGTTTTTTAAAATTCTTAAAAAATAAAAACCTAAAGAAAAGAAGGGAGGGAAGAATATGCTCTGTTTGAAATGGCTGAGAAGAGCTGTACTTAGGTTATCATTTGTCAAGGCAGACAGAATAATTGGATGTTTTATTGTCTTTAGTCTAAGCTGTGGTGCAAGCAGAAGAAATGTCACTTCACTAACTGACAACAGAGGCAGAATGACTGAAATCCATGACGAAAAGCCAAATGACAAAAAAAATTCTGATTATATCCTATAAATACAAACAGCTAGAGAATTATGCTAACTTCTCATTTTGACATGTGAACAGAAGAGATGCTAATGTTGTGAGACAGATTTAAAACAAACATTTAGTGAGTATACATCTCCGCTGTGAGCTGAGGACCCAGGCCAGACGTGTGAGGTGTACTATTGTATCTAATCACACCTTTTACGCCTTCTTCTGTTCAACCCCTAAAATCCCCCTCCTCGAGGTGTCTCCCTGCAGTTCACAGCTGGCGCCAGGACCATCCACTCTACGTCTCTGCTTGAGTGGCACATAACATACAAATGAGTCTGTGTGTACTGAGAACCGATCTTCTTGGCTTTGTTTCAGGTATAACATTATACTGCTGACTCTGGTGGTACTAATTCATTTTGTTAGCCAAATATCCGATCCATCCCTCCCTTTCTTTCAGCAATAAAAATCTTGTTCTAATGAAAAAAGGAACTCAGTTATATAATACACAAAAATAAAAACATGGGTTGTAGATTAAACAAAGGAAAAAAACAAAATGGTAAATAGAAATGTAAGAGCACATTTTTATGAACTTGGGATAGGTAGAGCATAAACAAAACTCAGAGCCTTAAAACAAAAAGCTGGGTAGATTTAAGTAAAAATAAAACAAAAACATCTTCTACAAGGTCAAAGCCACCATGAATATAGTTAAAAGATAAACTGTGGGAAAATATTTGTAACATGTAATATATATCATTAATATAGATTAATGGCTTATAAATGTGCAAAAATTTAAATAAGTTCAAAGAAAAATAGCCAATTATAACATAAAAAGATATATAACATATAAACAGCATGTAACAGAATGATTACAGAAATACCAGTTGGGATTTTTTTCATATTTTCAAAGTTTTTAAAACTTTGATTATCATCACTGTTAACGAAGTAAGAAGGCATCTCAGGGCACAAGGTTTCTGATTTTTTGCAGAGAGCCATTTGGCCGCAAATCGAAGGGGGGTCCCCTTTCTAATCGTGGAAATCGAGGAAAGATGATTTGCTCATTCATTACTATCACTATCCAAAGGTCCAGTCCCCAAACTTCATATCGGCTATGGCGGAGTCACTGTGGCTGCTCTTATTCTCCATTCTCCAAGTCAGTCCAATACTAAGTAACCCATCTGTAGGCCAATCCCTTAAATAAGGGCTGTGGGACAGCATTTTAGAACTAAACTCATTCAGAGGGGGCTGACACTAAAAAATAAGACAAGCTACTCATTTATTCAACATACCTTCAAGGCTACACTCAAGTTCACCACTGAGACAACTGTCCTGCCCTTTACTTTTTTTTTACCTGGAAAATCAACTCACCCATGTTCTGTCATACAGAAAGCTTGACTTTCAATCAAGTACTTAAGCAGACCTAGCTTCACAGTAAAAAGAATGAATGGCCCTGTGTCCGGGCATATTTGCCACTAGCTCATGTCTATGCAGAAAGAGAAGCTAAGTGTCTACTTTCTATGGAGTCGGCATGGGCGTCTTGTCCCAGTACTCAGCTGTGAATGCAATGATACCTAGTCCTTGTTAGTATTTAACAAAGTACTATGGACACACTAAACATCGCCTTTCTGATTCTCTACCCGTGTTGTTCAGTCACAAACATGGAAGGAATTCCTGTGAAGGAATGGCGATGTTTAAAGCTGTGACTTGGCTTTGTTGCACTTTGCTTGAAGATTGATCCACAGTGTCTTCAATCGTGCAACAGTGGTTTTATAAATGTGTTCAAATGAATGTTTATTTCCCAAGATTAAGCTGCTTACTGAGAAGCTTATATGTTTTTTAAATTATGGTTTAGAATTTATCACCCAGTGGATTTCCCTGTTGGCATCAGCATCAGAACATTCAAAACTCAACTGAGTGATAAAATGACAATGTCCCTGCGAAAGTGCTCATTTTCTGCCCTTTCTAAATCTACTGTATACTGTTTTGTGTTGTAATACTACAAACTGCCTCAAATTCTTTTTGAGAAATAGCAGGTGGTTGGTTATGTATTAAAATTTCTAAAATAAATGTTTCCCAGGCCTCTGTGTGCGCGAATACCAGATACCAAGTAGGACAAGGGCATCAACTTCCCGGGATGTCATCAGCTCACTACCCTGCTAACCCAGCCCGGCGGGTAGCGGCCTGTAGGAGCTGGACTGGAGGCTCCCAGGGAGCTCAGTGATCACCGAAAGCCTTTGTGTCAGCCGCTGCTAGTCACCCCTTTTTCCTCTGTGTGGGAGACAGGAAAAGATGACTTCAGCCACAGATCAGTCCATCCTCAACAAAGGTGAGAGGCACCATGTCTGAGTGTAGGAAACAGTGTAACTTATTGCCACTTTGGAATTCACTGTGTATGAGGTGTCACTGTTTTGTCTGGAGGGATTTGAAAATTCTCATGGTGAGGGAAAGAAATTTAAGATAATAAAGATACATTAAAGTCAAACAAATCCATTCCACTAGCGGAGTAATAGAAAGCTGGCTGTATTAATCATGGCATATACACAGTATCAACATTAAAATCAAATAGTTTATCTCTGGCCAGATTGGTTCAGCTGGTTGGAGCATTTCTCTACACTGGCAGGTTGAGGGTTCGATTCCAAGTCAGGGCGACGCCAGTTGGGGCATGTACAAAAGGCAACTAATGGATGTTTCTCCCATTCTCTCCCCCCATCCATCCTTCCCTTCTTCTCTCTCCAAAAGCAATGAAAACAAAAAGTCCTCGGGTGGGGATTAAAAAAAAAAAAAATCAAATACCTTAGTCCCATTAAAAACATAATTACCTTTAGCTCGTTAAGTAAGTTGTGTTGTTCAAAATGTTCCTTTTTTCTTTTAACGTATTGATCAATGGACTCCATTTCCTTAAAACGAGCCTCATGAAGCTTCTTAAAGTCTAGAAAATTCCATGAAATATGAAAATTAGTAACAAAGCAAAATTCACCTTCCCTTTGTTCTTCCGTTAACACTTATTTTCTCCTCTGCATCCCTGACATTCAATTTCAACATCATCTTTACCAAAATTTCATTTCAAAACATTTAGTTTTTGGAACTCATGGACAAAACATACCCTAAAATGAGCAAACATTCCCCGTCTCCCCACTGTCCCTTTCACTGCTGACAGTTTGGTTTCGTCCAGAGGATAAGAAATGAATAGCAGATTTGTCCTCTCACCTCAGCAGTTAATCACATGGCATTATTTAACCATAACTTTGATGTTTTAAAATGCTTAGGAAGTTCTACGCCAAGCATTGGCATACTTTTCCTGTAAAGGGCAGATAGTAAATATTTTAGGCTTTGTGGCCACAAACAGTATGGTCTGTCTCATATTCTTCTTTTCTAATAAAACCCTTTAAAACTGTAAACACCATTCTTAGCTCAAGGGCTATAAGATAGGCCAAGGCAGGCAGTAGTTTGCTGATCCCTGCTCTGTGTTATTTTAATTGAATATATATGTACATTCTATTTAAGAATATTTGCCCTGGCCAGGTAGTTAGCTCAGTTGGTTAGAACGTCATTCAGATGTGCCAAGGTTGCAGGTTTGATCCCTGGACGGGGCACATACAAGAATCAACCAATAACTATAAACAAGTGGAACAACAAATCGATCTTCCCCTCTCTCCCTAAAATCAATTTTAAAAAGGAATATTTTAATTAAGTATATGAAATTCTGATATATGCCAAGTGATCAGTATTCGATGTGCCAAGCAACAGGGCAGACTTGTATAAAAATGGAGTCCCTTAGAATTATTTTTTTTAAAGGGAATTTACTACAAGGTGGACCCTGTGCCAAGTACTTTACAGACATTCATTTTCAAATATTTATTGAGTACTTGCTACATGCTAGTTACTGTTCTAGGTAATCAGAAGTGGAAAAACAGTCTCAATTAATCTATTTATCGGTCTGATGAAATACACACTACAACCATTCCCACTTTTCACTGAGGTGGGTTTACTGAGGATAAGTAAGTTGCCCGAGGTCTCGCAGCCAGGAAGTGAGAGAACGCAGATGCTGGCCCGAGGTCCGCGCCCCGGGCATACTGGCTCTCCATAGCAGCTGGGGGCCACCGTCACTTTGCTTCTTTGTGTGTGAAACTTACTTGGAGTTGTGCTTGCAATTCTTTTATTTTTTCCAGATTTGGAAAACCCATCTGTGTAGACAGACTTCTTTCTTTCTGAAGGTACCTTTGAATCTGCATTACCTGAATACAAAGATATGGAACTAATGAAGAGATTTCAACAAATTCTTGCCATTGAGAAATGTCTGGAAGGCAACACACACACACTCTAGTGACAGGCTACGCCAAGGTGGCAGGGCCACGGCACAAGGGCGCACAGAGAACGTGCTACGGCACCACTAACATCTGAACTCACGTGCTTCAAGTAGTCAGAAACGTTATGCTGCCTGGTATAGAAGTTAGACCAGAAGTTTAAAAACACTTTTTTCAGAACTTTTGCTATAAGTATTTTCTTATTATAACCAGAATGATAAAATCACACAATTCCACCAGCCTAGGAATCGCCACTAGCATTCTGGCGTACTTCCCCCGCTCCTCTGCACCTGGTACAGGGGCTGCTGCTTGGACCATGGCTCTAAAACCAGAGAGAAAAGTTCTGGGAAGAAAGAGAAGAAAGGATATTTACAGCGTCAGTCACTCTTCACAAGATACTTATTAATTACAAATGTAAAAATAGTAACTTTAGCTGTGGCTGCTGTGGCTCAGTGGATTGAGCGTTGGCTTGTGAAAGAAAGGTTGCCGATTTGATTCCCAGCCAGGGCACCTGCCTGGGTTGAGGGCCAGGTCCCTAGTTAGGGTGTGAGAGGCAACCCATAGATGTTTCTCTCACTTCTCCTCTTACTCCCTCCCTTCCCCTCTCTCTAAAAAGTAAATGAGAAAAGAAAAATAGTAATTTTACAGAGAAGCAACTTATGAAACACCACCACAACTGGATAATAGAAGTTAACATGACTACTCACAGGGCAAACTAACCCCCGTGCTTTCTCGAGTGCTGACTCTCGAGGACACAACATTACTCTGTGGGACTCCAGCCACAAGCGGCTGATCTGAATCTAACCATCAGCACATAAGACAAACAAAATCAGAGGACCCCCCCCCCTGCCCTGCCCTGGCAAACCTGCCTATATTAAAAATATCAACATCCTGAAAGACAATGGAAGACTGAGAATTAAAGGTTAAAGTAGATTAAAGAAAGGTGATAATGAATTTGCAAAGGATGAGCTGAGATTTTCCTTTAAGGGACATAATGGTAGAATTATATTGGAATGATTACTGAAATAACTGATGCAACTAAATAAGATCTATATAGATTAGATTAGAATTTCTCATACTTTCTAGTCCCAGAATCCCTTTATACTCTCAAAAATTATTGAGACCCCAAAGAATTTTTTATGTATATTAGTTATATCTATCAATATGTGCCAGACACTTAAAAACATTTGATTTATTAAAATTAACAATATGTCCATTAAATGTTAACAAATAAATTTATGAAAAATGGCTAAAATTTCTAACAAAAATAGCGAGTAGAGTAGCATTTTTTCACAATTTCTTTAGTATTTTACTCGTAACAGGCATTCAGATTCCCTGCTTCTGCAGATACATGTTGAGAAGTGTCGTTCTGGTTGAAGTACACATCTCTGAGGACAAAGGCTGCCACGCGCAGACGTGTGGTTGAAAGGAAGGAGCATTTCCATAGCCCCTCCGGCACCTATGCGTATTCTTTGAGACCGCGCCATAACTGGAGAAGCGGCAGTTCTTAACGGTTAGCTGCAACGTGGAGCACGAAGCCACATCAACAAACTTTTTATACTCCGTACCTTTGTCAGAGAAGGTAGTTGTGTTCTTAAGAAATACACATTGAAGTGTTTAGGTCTGCAAAGAGGCACATATCTGCAACTCACTCTCAAATAGTTCGGGGGGCAAATGTACACCACACATACATGTATGTACAATGTGTACATAAATATACAGAGAAAAATGTAGGAAAGCGTTAACATTTGGGAAATGTAGGTTAAACATACACAGCAATTCTTGGTACTATTTTTGCAACTTTAAGTTTGCAAACAATGTCCAAAAAAAGTTTAAAAATGTTCTCTTACCAGAAACTAGCTACATGATCAGATTTTTCTCCTTCAAATAGCCTATGTTTCATTAGGCAAACTTGACTTAATGGGTCCACACTCAGTTTTTCTGACATAGAAACTGAGTCCTAGACCTACGTCTCCTGAACACAGTAATTGGTGGAATGGAGGGCATTTGTAATTCCACACCCTCTTCTTTGTCATATTTCCTGACAACTATCTAAATCATGACTTTAAAATGGGTATATATGGCCTATGCACCAGCAGACAAAGGAAGTTTCAAACCTGGGGTGCTTATTAAAAACTGCAGACTACCAGACTCACCTACTGAAACAGAACCTCAACCTTTTGGAACTAGATTTAGTAAGAAACGCAAAGTTCTGGGGAAAATGGGAAGGCCCAACATGGGAAATTCTGCATTTAACCGCTTGGTGGGCACTAGCCAAGGCAGAGGGGCTGGGCTGAAATGAACACCAAGGAGCTGCTGCACGCTTCCTGAGGAACGGAATCGGAAGGTGTCAAGTCCTGTTAGGCATGCAAAAGGGAAGTTTTCTGGTCTTATTGAAACAAACTTTTAGTTGAGAAAGTTTATGGGAGAGGTTTTAGGAGGTTAGAGTCTAAGAAGAATATTTATCATAATAAAAAAGGTCACACCACCGGAAGGTAGACTTTGCAGCTCCACTTAAATATCCTGGTTGAGGCCTGGCTGGTGTGGCTCAGTGGACTGAGTGCCAGCCTGCACACCAAAGAGTCATCGGTTCGATTCCCAGTCAGGGCACATGCCTGGGTTTTGGGCCAGGTCCCCAGTAGAGGATGCATGAGAGGCAACCACACATTGATATTTCTCTCCCTCCCTTCACCTCTCTCTAGAAATAAAGTCTTTAAAAAAAAATTCTGCCTGAGAGGTGAACTGGTCTTCGCACCTGTCTCTGGAGTAGGCCAGGAGTCAATGAACAAAACGCGGGCTTTCCTCATCACTGAGAGACATTGACTTCCCTGAACTTCCCAGCTACCATTCTTATCTGGTTTTTATAATTAAAGATGATCTGATGGCCTATGACATTTGGTTCTAATTTTGCTTTGTCAAACCCTTAAAAGTTCTACATAATGATGTTATGGGTTGCACTCTATCCCCCCAAAAGATATGCTCAAATCTTTACCTCCAGTAACTGTGATAACTTTATTTGGAAATAGGGTCTTTGTAGATATAGTCAAGTTAAGAGGAGGACATTCGGTGGAAACCCTAATCCAATGTGACCAGTGTCCTTAGAAGCAGACAGGGAGAATGTCACACAACAGAGGCAGAAACAGTGATGCAGCTGCAAGCCGAGAAACACCAAGGGTCAGCTGCCACCTACCACCAGGAGGTAGATCGAGGCCAGGACTCCACCTGGAGTGGAGGAGGAGCAAGGTCCTGTTGGCACCTTGGTTTCAGACGTCCCGTCCCCAGAACATGAGAGAACAGACGTGTGGTTTCCAGGCGCCCGAATGCAGCGCTTTGTGACAGCAACCACAAAAACATAAGGCACTTGGCTGCCCTTGCAATTTTGGATTTTTAGTTAAGTGGCATACCATTTATTCTCCTTTTTTTCCCTGAGGGCACCATATTCTCTACTCCTTGGCTCTCATCTGGTGGAGAAGGAACTTCTGCAGCAGTTCTGAGAATCTGGGTGTCCTGCTTTTCTTGATTCTTGAACTCAGTGGGATCACTTGTTTTTATCTCTGAATCATCCTGTTACATATTTTAAAAGGAAATAAGTGATTTAAATGATAAATAAGAGGTTATCGAATTTGCAAGTTGCTAAGACAGTGCATCTTAAAAGTTCTCATCACAAGAAAAACATTTTTATAATTATGTATGGTGATGTATATTAACCAGACAAATGGTGCTCATTTTGCCATATGTACAAACATTGATTGAATCATTAGGCTGTACGCCTGAAACTAAAGTAATCTTTTATGTCACTTATATCTTGATATAAAAATACATCGTTAAAAAATTTAAAAACATTGCCCTGGCTGGCGTAGCTCAGTGGATTGAGCGCAGGCATGCGAACCAAAGGATCACAGTTCGATTCCCAGTCAGGGCACGTGCCTGGATTGCAGGCCAGGTCCCAGCAGGGGACGCATGAGAGGCAACCATGTATTGACATTTCTCTCCCTCTCTCCTTCCCTTCCCCTCTAAAGATAAATAAACAAAATCTTTAATTAAAAAAAAAAAAAATCTAGGTACCAAGGTGAGGAGGCAAAGGAGTTAAAGAAAAGTAGGAGGAGTTAAAGAAAAGTAGGAGAGTAAGTTTTATTTATGTATTTTTAGAGAGAGGGGAAGGGAAGGAGAAAGAGAGGGAGAGAAACATCAATGTGTGGTTGCTTCTCAAGTGTCCTCCACTAGGGACCTGGCCTGAAACTCAGGTATGCCTGAATGGGGGACAATATTTTCTAATATTTCTAAAATATTAGAAAACCTTCTAGAGTACCTGGTACTCTTAGTTCCCTAAGAATATACCAATTTTTCCTGACTGGGAATCGAATCTGCGATCCTTTGGTTTGCAGCCTGTGCTCAATCCTGTGAGTTATACCAGCTAGGTAGGTATAGGAGAGTAAAATTTCCGTGTGGCAGATTTGGTTCTCTGCCTCACCAAGAGTCACAGTGTATGAATCTGGGACTAGGAAATATCGGGGATCGTTGGAAGGCACAATAGGCAGGACCAACTCTCTTAGGGATGAGAAATAACGCTGAGACCCTGATAGGCTAACGACTAAGGGACTATACAAAGCTAGAAAATTCATACTAGGACCATGTTTTGTAAAAACTACATTTGAATGAAAGGATAATATAATCAGAGTCCTCTCAAAGCAAGTGAGCAAGGCCCCTGCAATCACATGGCCTGGGACAGGATAAGAAAGAGAGAAAAAAAACATATTTAGTGTTGGTTTTTATTGCCTTCTTATTTACTACACCTCACTTAAGTAAAAACGTAATGAAGTTTCATGTTTCTCCAACAAATATTTGCTTTGTGATTAATACTTAATAAGTGCTTCCTGAGCGCCAGCACCAGGGCAGGCGGAGAGCAGTCTACACTGGCTCTGTGTGTTCATGGGACTCACAACACCCAGGGTTTACCGCTACCTGAGAGCATAAGGGAAGTTAAAAGAAAGTTCCCTAAGAATATACCAATTTTGACATTGGTAGTGGCTTATCTTCAGTTTTCACACATCCATTTAGTTGGGAGTCAGGATTGCTGTGGACAGTCCTGCGCCTTCTCCTTGTCTTGGTGAAATGCCCAGCTGGGTGCCTCTCAGCTTGTTCCCGGCTGGTCATCTGCACCTCGGTCTCATCACAAGAGGATGCAGAAGTCTGACTTTCATCCTGAAAAGAGACATTGATCTGCTATGTCCTAAGTATAGAAGTATAATGCTCAGAAAGAATCAGCATTTAGACTGAATAAAAAACATACAGTACACATACAAAAGACATTTTTAAAACTCTTGAGCACTAAATTACAGGCAAGGAGGGCAAGACATACAGAGTGTTCAAAAGGAAATAATCACATTTAATAACCCAGGCTAAAAGACTAGGCTAGGAAAGCACACGTTATTTTAGTGTAAGTAAGCAAATTACTAAAAGTGTATTAATTTATTGAATATATGCTATGTGCCGGGCAGTATACTGTAACAGTATGACTAACAGTAATTACAGTTAATGTCGCAACTTTTTTGGATGGTTTATATGAATTACCTCATTGCAGGCCAGGTCCCCAGCAGGGGGTGCGCAACCACATACTGATGTTTCTCTCCTTCTCTCCCTCCCTGCCCCTCCCCCAAAATAAATAAATAAATAAAATCTTTAAAAAATACTAATGAGATTACAATGAAAATAATTAGTTCTCTGCCTAGGCTTCCTATTTCTCAGGTTTAATTTCAGGAGATTACTTATACACCACTAGTGATTTGCTGAAGAGATATTCACTTACATTTTCTTTTTTTACTTACATTTTCAATAGCTATTTTTAGTGCCTATCACGTGCTAAACTTAGCTCATTTGCACCACTGGTCTCCCCGTCTTCTCCCTAACAGACTCTTACTGCATTAGTCACTCTAATGGCTCCCTGTGGAGTTTTAAACACACTTACAGACCTTACATCTTGTTCCACAACTGTATATGAAATATCCAGCTTGTAAACCTACTAGCACCCTTATATGTCCCCTCGCCTCTCAACATGTCATCTACTCTTTTTAAGTTTCCGAGTCGCTGACATTACAGCCTGTTACGTAACCCTAATCGAACCATCTGTGCCTTTTCTGGGTAGCCGGTTTCTAAAAGCTGATAAATAACTGATTGTAAGGCTTTTTAAGAAAAGATGTATTTATCTACCTGTCTATTTATTTATTTATTGAGGAGAAGAGAGGGATAAAGAGAGGAAGACAAACATCAACATGAGAGAGAAACACTGATTGGTCTTGTAAGCACCCTGAACCCACAGCCCAGGCACATGCCGTGCCCGGGGATTGAATCCGTGACTGCCCTTTCATTTTGCAGGATGGTGCCTAGCCAACTGAGCCACATTGGTCAGGGTATAAAGTTGCATTTTTTTAAGCTTTTGTTTTCTACATCATCTTTGTTTTCTTTAGGGTAATCTTTTTCACTTTGTTTCTCTTAAACTCTCTCAGACTACAGGCTTTCCTCAAATGTCCATGATTGTTGGCCTTTTATTCATATTTTGGAGCAAAAACCTCATTAGTAGCTTGATGTGTAGCCTGTTATCTGGTGGGATCTGACCTACTAGGTTCCTTACTTGAGGAGGAGGCTATCACTCAGCAGATCCTTGAATGCCAGAAGCGTTTGCTTGATAACCACTTACTTTCCTTACAGAGAAACCTTCTAATATTTTAGACTGTAGTAGACACCTGGTACTCTGCACGTGAAGTAGGCTGCTTTGTATCCTGACTGTTCAGTCCATTTCACTACGGTTCCTGGACCCTACCTTCCGAGAGTGCAGTCACCCTCAGTTTTGGTGATGCTCAGGGCAACCCCAGCACGTGCCCTGACCCAGAATTGAACTGGAGACCTTTTGGTCTGTGGGTCGACACCCAACCCCCTGAGCTGCCAGTCAGGGCTATCCTTAATAATTTAAAGCACATACGAGTACATATATAAATTAAATGGTTTACTTGATGTAAAAGCTTTCAATTAACTAAAGTTTTTTTCCTATTTCTAGTTAATTAAATCCTGGAATCAGAAAAATTTTGAATATTGAAAGTTTAAAATGTTTGTAACTCAGAATATACTTATAGAGACGAGCAAGTTAGATTTTCAGTTTACATTTATACTTACCTTCACTTTCAGGCATAGAGCATATGCTCGCCAAGGCCCAGTTCCTTATGGCCTCTCAACACTTTCCTCTGTCTCGAGTGAAGAAACCCGGCCCTAACGAGCCACTGACCCTTTCAGTGTCCTGCCTTCTCAGAACTCTCTGATGTGGATTCGAAGCAGCCATGACAACCCCTCCCGACGGCGGTGGTTTGTGGGTCACTGTGGTTCTCCTCCACAGTCTGACTCCCCTGAGACTCCCACAGCAGAGCAGGGAACTAAGAATCAAGGAGTATGCGTTTCCCCAGGTCACATAAGAAATGATAGAGCTGCTACTGAACTGGGGTTGTTCTGACTTTGAATCGGCTTCCTTCCCTACGCACATCTTGCGTAGGGAAGAGATACTCACATCATGCTATCTCTTATACTTTTTGGCAACTAGGAGTTAACTCTTGCATTTGTGCAGGAGTGTCTTATTCAACACATCACTTGCTGCAAGGCAGTTTTGCCATTTTTACCTAGTAGTTATAATGAAAGGACTTTAACTATAACCAATAATGATCTCTGTTGAAAAAACAGCATCTCTTAAAAGCCACCACTAATTGTGCTTCTTATTCATGAACTAAATATGACAATTTTGCTAAATAGGTGATGAGAAACCTTGCTTACCTGATTTTCACTTTCTTTTCTTGCTTGCTGTTTCAGGTGGGCTTTCAAGGATTTCAGCAACTTGTCTGCCTGCAGGAAAGTTAAAGATTTTAACAGTAGAGCCAGAAATCAAATATGCAAGACAGATACACTGAACATTTTCTCCTGTTCTTGTATTCAAGCGTCCCTTGGGCAGGCTCTGGGAATAGAATGAAGACCAAAACGGAATCAGCCTCTGCCCTCACAGATTTCAAAGCAGAGTGAAGTCAGAAAAGTGAAGCGGCAATGACACTGCAGTGGGGTCAAGGCCAACATGAGGAAGCCCAGGATGTTGTGAGAGAACACAGGTGTGCTTGCCCACTAGGGTGCAGACTTCAGCAGGTCACTGAACACACTAGTTCTAAGCAGACTTGATGCCTCTAGCTGCTGATGTCTGAAGGATGATTAGGAGAGAGTGGGTCATGGGGAAAAAAGGTAAAAAAAAGCAGGGAAGGAAAGAATGAGCGTGAAGTTTGAAACCCTACAGTTCAGTGTGGCTGGAGTGTGGAGCTGTTGAAGGAGATGCTGAGAGAACGCTGGGGAAGTGGGCAGGACTTGAGCCTTCTAAGTTTCTTAAGTACATAAGTTTCTTAAGTTCTTCTTAAGTTTCTTAAGAAGAAACTTCTAAGTTTCTTCTAAGTTTCTTCTAAGTTTCTTAAGTACATAAGTTTCTTAAGTTCTTCTTAAGTTCTTCTTAAGAAACTTCTTAAGTTTCTTAAGTTTCTTAAGTACATAATTTTTACCCTCAGGATAAAGGCCAGTCTCTGAAGAATCCACAGCAGCAGGGCAGTGGGTGACCAATTCTGCCTTACTTGGAATGACCACTCTGGTTGAATGATGTGCAGGGTGCATTTGATGAGGGTCTGATGGAAGACAGGGAAACGGCCAAGGGACTGTTGTAGGAAACCAGAGATGACTTGGCCGGAGCGTTTATGGTGTGAAGAACATGCTCCAGCCCATTTTACCAGAATGCTCTGCACATCCCAGCTAGTAATAAAGTGGTACCTTATTTTCTACTTGCCTTTGTTCCTGTGAGACAGGCTAGTAAGCCAGGACATCTGGATAAGGGAAAGTGAGACAGATAAACAGTTGGCAGCGATCTAATAATAAATCCCATCTTTCCTAAACCAAGGACACTTAAGAGTAAGTGGTGTACACTCCTCACCAACCAGAGGGCAAAGAGCTTAACTCGCCCTTCTCAGGGAGACAGACTAGAAATCCAATTAGCGCCATTTGTGCCAACCACACCCAGGGCAGATAAAGTTAAGGGAATGCGGTAAATCTCATTTTGGCCCATCAGCATAAAGCTGGTGACTGTTCTATTGAGACCCTCCGCTAAGTCCTCCCTAAACTCCCAGCATTTAAAATCCTCAAAACAACAACAACAACAACAACAACAAAAACAAAAACAGAAGCCACGGCACTGGCTCAGGAGCATACATACTTCTGCCCCCACAGGCATGGCATCTCCTAAACTCTAAGGGTCCCCATGAGACTTGTAGCCAGGGAGCAGTGGGCAGTGGCAGCTCGTCCTGGGCTCACCCCTGAACCTTTCCCAGGGCCCCCTTTCTCTGACCTCTTAGTGAGCCAAAGCAGCACTGCCCAGGCTCATTTCCCTGCTTGTCCCTGGCCTGTTGCTTCTAGGCCCTTCCTCATTTCACTGTCCCCGGCATTAATAAACATACTCTGAAAATCACCTGCACTCGTGAACTCTTTCCTGTACAAAGTCAAGAACTCACACACTACGGGCGGGCTCCAGGCAGACCTGCTCGGGGCCAGTCCCCCCCTTTCCTGTAACACGTGAGCCTCTCCTGGGGTTGTCCCTGTGTGGGGGATGATCAGCAGAGCAGAATTTAGGCATTCTTGGTTCTGCTGTCACTAACATCTTTCCCCCCTCAACCACTTTACTGGAGTATGGTTGACTCCCCAAAGCTGTAGATATTTAATGTACACAACTTGACGTGTTTGGAGGTTAAGAATACACCTATAAATCCATCATCACTGCCATAAGCGATCCATCACCTCCAGCAGTTTCCTACACACTTTTGGGTTTTTTGGTGGTATGAGCACTCAACTAAGACCTATCTTCCTAGCAAAGTTTTAGGTATATGATATAGTATTTTTAATCATAAATTCCACATCATACAGATTTCCAGGACACCTTGAAATATCATGAAAGTCTCAGCCCACACACAAGAACGTTGATGTGGTGTGTGTGTGGCAGAGCCAGGGGGGTCTTCTAGCAGGCTGTATGATATGGGGTGATGCTCAAGAGGATGGGCTGGAGGCCCAGGTGTGGTGCTAGCACACACTCACTCATGCTCTGCCCGGGCATCGATGGCGTCTGACACTGTCCCGGGCAATGGAGAGACAGTGGTGAACAAAGGAGGTGAGGCCTCCGCCTTCAGGAGCCTCCAGCAGTGGAACAGTAGGAGAACTGCCTACTAACCAAGTGAGCTGAAGCAAATATGGCTCAGGTTCTGTGAGACAGAAAGCAACACCAGTAACTAGATCGGGGGCACTACCCGAGTTAGGGTGGTCAGGAGAGGCCTCTCAGAGGTGTGACTTTTGAGGTGAGATGTGAGTCAGAGGACAACGCAGCAGGTGAAATGGGAGGGAGGAGCATCCCAAGCAAGGGACACCATGCCCAGAGGCCCTGGGACGGTTGGTGAACGTGAAGGACAGAAAGAAGCCACATGGTGATCACCTGGGCAAGAGGAGGGCAGGGAGACCATGCACGTGACCAGAGGCCGGGTCAGGAGAGGGCTGTGGGCTGCAGCTAGCTGCGGGGATCTCTTCCTCTTAACTTGCTATTACAAAAGTCAAAATAGTTTAGTAAATACTCTTATACTCCCCACCTAGATTCAATACTTGTTAATATTGTCTCATGTTTGCTTTCTCTCTGTATTAATATACTTCTTACCAGAGCTATTTGAAAGTGAGTTCCAGACATGATACTTTACCACTAAACACATCAGCCACATCTGCTAAAAATAAGGAGATATTTTCCTATATAACCTTGAATGAATTACCATACCTAAGAAAGGTAATGATTTCCTAATGTCTTCTGATACATAGCCCACGATCAAATTTCCTCAACCGTCTCCAATGTTAGCTGTTTTCTTTTTAAAAATTTCCCTTCAAATCAGGACCAAGCCAAATTTCTCATATTACTTTTGGAGGAGTTTGAATTTTACTTTAGGTGTAAGGAAAGTCACTGGAGGTCACTGGGCAGAAAGAAAATGACACGTTCTAAGTTGCAAGTAGCTCTCCACCATCAAGAGGACACTATTGTGAGGCATGAGTAGAGGCAAGGAGAGCATTAGACAGGCCAAAGCAGTGGCCAAGGGCCAAGGGTGCGTGGCCCAGGCCATAGCACTGGAGATGGCGCACAGAGGTCAGATTTCAAGTTGCTTCTGAGGAAGAGCTGACAAGGGTGGATGGTTGTGAGCTGTGAAGGGAGGAAGGAGAGTGATCTAAAGCAGGTCTGAATCATTTACTGAGATTGGGAAGAGATCTTAATTGTTTTGAACTGACCAAGCTGTTTAAGATGCACTTAAATACATGAGCCAGCAGCTCAGGGGAGAGTTTGCACAGGAGATGGTGGGTTTCGGAGTCATTAGTCCTAGAAGAATGGATAAGGTCACTAGGGAGAAAGCACAGTTAGAGAAAAGGCCAAGGAGAGAACTGTGGGGCACTCTACAGTTAGAGATTTGACAGAGGAAGACCAGCGAAGGAGACTAGAAGAAAGTGCTAGTAAGGCAAGACGAAATGAAATATCAAAGAGATGGACCACAGGTTTTGTAAGATACAGGGCATGGCTTCAATAGGAGCGACTTCAGTGGAAAAGAACAGAGAAATTGGGCAGTAGATAAAGGATGTGGGGTCAGGAGTGGTTTTATTTTTTTTTAAAGATGGTGAAATCTGTAAGTTATATGAATGTCTAACCACTATGCTGCACACCTGAAACTAAACTAACATGATATTAACTGTCAATCGTAAGAGAAAAAAAATAGGTGATGTTAAGATTTGATTGTATGCATCACGGAAATGAGCGGCAGAATGGGAGAAACTGATGCAGGAAAGAGACATTATAGGAGTGTACCATAGAGAAAGAAACAGGATCCCCAGCACAAATGGCAAGGCCACCCTTAGGCCCAGCCTTTTAGAGCAGTAGGAGGGAGGCAGAGTAGGCAGGGACAGGTGCAGGCTGCCTGCAGTGTTTGGGGGTGGAAAGATGAGGTAATGCTCAGCTGATTGCATCTATTTTTCCTTGGCATATGAGGAAAAGCATCAAGTGAGGAAGGGGAGCCAATCTGAGGGGAGAAGATATGAAATAATTGTCCTTAAAAATGGGAAAGTTAATGACTACCAAGAAGTGTGAGAGAATCAAATGGCACTTTTACAATTTATGCTTATAAATTTAAATTAAGTTCAGCCAACAAACTTAGGTCATTTTTTTTTTCCAGCTAGGATCAGCTGGTTACATATAGGCAAGGATTAAGCACAAAGCTGAATTTAATCAGGCCTTAGAGTTTTGCCAGGTGAGGGAGGAGCACTACAAGTGGAAACAGAGCTGGTCTTCATAATCCAAACTGGCGGGAAGGAGAGGGAGGGCCTGAGTGAGAAGAGAAAAGGACCCGTGGCCACACAATACACATTGCTAACCGACTCCATGTTTTTTTTTTTTTGCTTTACCACTGATAACAGGATCTCGATCAAGAACTAATATTTTCTCTTCTAAATCTATTTAGAATGTCATCATGCTGGTGAGAACATTTTTAAAAAATCAAATCTTGATATTTTCTTAGAGTAATTTATTCATTTTTTGCTAAGTGCTTGAAATTTAAAACGGCAACTAACTAATGAGCTCCTGGACTACACCGACTGTACATAATTTAAAACATTTTAATTATGGAAAATTTCAAATACAAAAATAGAGACTAGTGTTATGAGCCCCCATGTTTCAACAATTATAACATTCTGCTGTTCTTCTAACCCCCTCTTTTTCCTTCAAGTATTTTATAGCAAATCCAAGGCATCATATAACATTCCACCTGAAAACACTTGGTATGTATTATCGAGAGATAGGGACTTAAAAAAAAGAGACAGAAACATAACCACAATACCATTATCATACCCAACAAAATTAACAATACTTTAATATAATTTAATACCTAGTCTGAGTTTAATTTTCTGTCTCCAAGGTGTCTTTTTATAATTGGCTATAATAAAGCCTTGTATTATCAAATTTGTCTGACAAATGGTACCTCTCGACAAACATTTGACAATATGTGCCAGAAACTGTGTGCTAGGCAGTCAACGGGGTCTGTAACAGTGACAACTACTCTACTACTGCACCTCTATGAAAACAGGTTACGGACTACCCCGGATCAGGTGCTTCAAGACACAATGAGGGTGGGACTGTTTGCAGCTCTTCGGAGATCCACGTGGGTCTGGGGTCTCACTGTTAGCCAGAGCTCTGAATTCCGGTAGGAAGCCTCCCCTGCAACTCTCTTGCTACCATCTGGTGCACTGCCACAGAGTAGGTGTAAATAATAGTCTGAATCGCCCCCGATCTGGGGTAGTCGGTTATCTGGTTTCATAGAGGTGCGGTAGCACAGTATTTGTCACTACAGACCCCGTTGCCCACCTAGCACACAATTTCTGGTACATAGTGTCAAATATTTGTTGAGAGGTACCACTTCTCAGACAAACTTGATCAACTATTCAGCATCTCTTATATAAAATGTACTGCAATTAATTCTGTAAAGACTTCCAAGGTGGAAGAATGAAATCCCTGTTCAAGGGACTTAAATGTTCGTAGAGAAGATAACATACACACACAAATAACCAGAGTACAAGGTAGAAGCCTGCAAGTGCTCAAAGACAGTACTTGAAATTAAACTGTTTAAAAGCACAGGGGGCTCCCGGGATGATTGGGTTGGTGGACCTGTAACTAAGGGAAAGAGGAGGGGATGGGGCACCAAGTGAGTGAAGTCAGTTCAGGGAGATTGTGGAGAATAACGGGAAATTATTCATGCTGATAAAGACAGAGGGAGAAGGGGATCTGAAGCCGAAAAGTCAAAATTAGCAAAGGTACAAAGAAGGACAACGGTACCAAGGGTTCAGTGACCAGTCCAGTTGCGATGCACTCTTGGATAAAAGACTGCAAAAAGCCTAAGGGATTTATGCTAAGGTATTAGGCTTTGTTTATGAAATATTCGGGTGCCATTAAAGATCATAGCAGAATTATCTCCAAAGACACCCCTTTATCATTCGGCCCCAACAGATGGGCATTAATTATTTTATTTAAGTCATTTAAAAACATTTGGGATGGCTGATTTAGGCATTCTATTCAGTGTGAATATCATAGCCAGAAGAACAAATTTCCAGAGTGTACATTAGCATTATGTGGGAAAACTCCACTAGAATCTAATATAGAAACCCAATCTCAAACCGAATCCCCACATTTCCCTGCAATATTTTGCAGCCTCGGAGTCAAAGACCTTACTGGTTTGGAGACACTAACACAATAGCGATCAATAAATGAACGATCATTTCAGATCACGGCTGAATTATAAAAATGTGTCCATGGGGGTGGTCCCTAAAAACCATCCTTTCTTCTATGTCCCCCAATAAAGTAGCAAGAGATTCTGGGCGCTATTACAATGTACATAAGTGTAACTTTTGAATTTTCCAAAAGCCAAGGCTGTTATTTCCGCGACTGGCTAACATTAATCGGCATTAGAGCTAGCGTTCCTTGAGCTTTCTGGGCCTGCATTCGTAAATGATGCCCTGGAAAGTATCACAGAGTAAAAGCAAACCAAACAAACCTTTCTGAAACCGAGGCCCTTTCCGCCCAAATTGTGCAGCTGGAGGAATACTAACGAACCAAATCTAACCCCACAGGGACGGGTTCGATCCCTTCTCACAGCGACTCCCAAAGGCTACTCAGCCTACCCCACCCCCTACCGTCCTGAGTCACCGGCTCCATACCCTCAGGTTAGCCCGGAGGCCCAGACTCTTGGCCAGGTTCTGCAGGTCACTGTACTTTAAGGAGTCCAGCTCCTCCAGTGAGGGGACGGTCATCGCGGTCTGCAACGCAGGCAACTACACAGGGTATTCGCCACCTCAGCCGCACCGTTCAAAACTCTGGCGCCACTGTAAGCGTTGACCAACCTAAGGGCTATAGACAGTTTAAATTAAGAACGCTGCACTTCCATTGGTTAACAATGTTGAGGGCGGGGTTTCCTGGAGCTGGCCAATAGAAAGGCTGACTCCTCTTATCAAACCCAAGTTCTACCTGACCCCTCACCCAAGCTTAGGCGCTGAAGGGCGTGTGTCCGGCTCCAGGTGTCCAATGAAAACGCAGGAGCCGGGCTTGGGGCGGGGCCTAGTGCCTGTTCGAATCTAGGCGGTGGCCGAGAGAAAATGGCGGCTCGCTCGCGGTGGCATCTCTCCTGTTATGCAAAGCCGCAGGAGGGTGACTTTTGTGATGGCACTAAGACAATTGATGAAACTTCTTTTACGACTTCCATGGAGTGGGACACACAGGTGGTGAAGGGGTCCTCGCCGCTTGGCCCCTCACGAATGGGGACGGAAGAGCCGTCTTTAGGCCCGCAGCTGCCGTCTTGGCTGCAGCCCAAGAGGTGCATTGTGTTCCAGTGCGCGCAATGCCACGCAGTGCTCGCTGACTCGGTGCACCTCGCTTGGGACCTCTCGCGGTCCCTCGGAGCCACTGTCTTCTCCAGTGAGTGGGGGCAGTGTTTGGGGAAGGTGAAGGAGGGTCCCCAAGAGGGTGTTCCAGCTTTCTCTCGGGGTGGCCGAATGCCGGCTGGGATAGAAAACTGGATTAGGACTTGGAAATTAACGCATTGCCAGGGATGGGGGCAAATTTTGTGGACTTGATGAGCCTACCTGGAAGGGGTAGTTTTCCCTTTCAAGGCCCCACAGCTATTCATTCTGACCAGCTTTTCTTTTTTCCCAGGGGTTACAAATAACGTGATTTTGGAAGAGCCCTTTCTAGTTGGCATTGAAGGTTTACTCAAAGGCAGGTACGTACTGAGTTCCAGATGCGACTCTAGTCCCTGACTTGATACTGGAGAACGTAGAACGGACCTGTACAAGGAGAAAACAGTTTCAATTGTGCGCTAGAAGAAAGTTTATTTCATTCTACAGTGCACTGGAAGTATATACTCCTTTTACTTGTTTCAGTCTTCTAAAACCTTGATGCATTAATGAATGGAAAAGTTGTATTTGTGTAGATTTTAAGATCTTCCTGGCCCTGGCTGGTGTGGCTCAGTGGACTGGGTGCTGGCTTCCGAACAGAAAGCTCGCTGGTTCAATTCCCAGTCAGGGCACATGCCTGGGTTGGGGTGGGGGGCAGGTCCCCAGTTGGGGGTGTGGGAGGCAACCAGTCCATGTACCTCTTCACATGTTGATGTCTCTCCCACTCTTTCTCCCTCCCTTCCCTCTAAAAGTAAATAAATAAAATTTCTTTGTAAAAAAAGTCTTTCTGAGGGTCACATATCCCTAGTAGTTGGTGCAAGTGAAGTGAGGCTAAGAAAGCTATATCTAGTAGAACAGTGATTTTTAACCTTTCTCATCTCATGGCACACACAAACTAATTAGTAAAATTCTGTGGTACACCAAAAAAAAAAAAAAATATATATATATATATATATATATATATATATATATATATATATATTGCCAATCTGACGACAGATAGGTATAAATTTGGCTGTTGTGTTGGCTGTTGTCATTCTTTTATTTGACAGTCTAAGGAAAGAGAGGTCAGTGCCCCAGACTAAATAGCCATGTACTGTATATTTCAAAAATTCTTGCTGCACAGCAGTTGAAAAATGCTATTGTAGTAAAGGAAAAAGGAGAAAACTATCTTTTGGTATATAGTGAGAATAACTTATTAGAAAACACACCCTTTGAGGTAACTAGGATTTTTAAGTTTGCATTTAACCTGGAGTTTGTAATAAGCAATGGCAGGACTAATTCTGCTGTAACCCAGAACACTGGGGGACAAACACAGCTGAAGTATATGTTCTTGAATACAGTGATCAGTCCCTGTTACCCATGGTTTTGCTTTCCATGCTTTCAGGTACCCAGGCTCAATCAGTCTGAAAATAATGGAAAATTTCAGAAATACACAATTCATAAGTTTTAAATTGTTCGTCATTCTGAAGAGTGTGATGAAATTTTAAATGTCCTGCTTTTTGTCCAGTGTGTCTATGCTGTATATACTACCTGATGGTTAGTTGTTTACTAGCTGGCTCAATTGTCAGAGTAGTGGTCACAGTGCCAGTGTTTGTGTTCAAGTAATCCTTACTTTACTTAATAACGGTCCCAAAGTGAAAGAGTAGTACTGCTGGCTATTCAAATATAAGAAGAGAAGCTATGCCCTGGCTGGTGTAGCTCAGTGGATTGAGCGTGGGCCTCTGAACCAGGGGATCGTGGTTCGATTCCCAGTCAGGGCACATGCCTGGGTTGCAGGCCATTTCCCAGCGGGAGATGCACGAGAGGCAATCATACATTGATGTATCTCTCCTTTTCTCCTTCCCTTCCCCTCTAAAGATAAATAAATAAAATCTTAAAAAAAAAAAAAAGAAGAGAAGCTGTAACGTGTGTATATGTAGGAAAACACAATATAAATAGGGTTCAGTGCTAGTTGCCTTGCTCAGTTAGGTGGAGCGTTGTTCTGTGCACCCAAGAAAGGGTGTTGTTTCAGTTCCTGGTCCAGGCACATGCCTGTGTTGCAGGTCCATCCCTGTTTGGGGTGTGTGTGGCAGACAATCAACGGATGTTTCTGTCTCTCCCCATCCCCCCATCCCCTCTCTTCCCTTCTCTCTCTAAAATAAATCAATAAATATGTTTTGGGGTGAGGATATATATGTATATAAATAGTTTAGTACTATCCATGGTTTCAGCATTCCTTGGGAGTCTTAGAATATAAGTCTGGTGTGGTTCAGTGGACTGAGCACCATCCTGTGGACCCAAAAGGTCACCATTTTGGTTCTTGGTCAGAGCACATGCCTGGGTTGTGGGCCAGGTCCCCTGTTGGGAGCGTGGAGAGGCAACCAATCAATGTTTTTCTCACATATTGATGTTTCTCTCCCTCTCTTTCATTCTCCTTTCACCTCTTTAAAAATAAATACAATTTTTTTTAAAAAAGTATCTACTGAGGATAAGGGGTACTACTGTATTGCCTAGTAAACTTTGCATCTTGCCTGTACTGTGATTTACAAGTGACAACAAAGTGCTCAGTGAATTTAGTATGATAAGGCTCCTCAATTTTGAGTGTTGGCTTTAACAGCAAGATAGTTCATTCTAACCAGTTTGGTTCGGTTTTAGGGTTAAAGTATAGGGATTCTTCTATGCTTTAGTTAGTAACCAGGAAGAGTTCTGTTGCTCCACTTTCCCAGCTGAATGACTCTATCTTTACTGGAGTGTCCTCTTCCCACCTAAAGGGAACAGAGGGGAGGAGTGGTGGGCTGCTTGGAATGGGACCCTATGGGGTCAGAGACAGAAGCTCCCTGAATGTCACCTTAGAAGGAGGATAATGCACCTAGACCCATGCTGTTCAGTGCTGTAACCACTAGCCACATCTAGTTATTCAGCACTGTGGCCATTCTGACTTGAGATATGCTGTGAGTGCAAAATACATACTGGATTTTGAACACTTGGTACCAAAAAGTTAATATTTAGAAATAATGATTACTTTTTGATATATTGGGTAGCATAAAACATATTAAAAATAATTTCACCTGCTTAAAAATTATTTTTAACTGATAGAATTTTAAATTACTTAATGTGGCTCACGTATTCCTGTTGAACAGTTCTGATCTAGATGGTTTATACAACGCTGGAGGGAAAGAACCACGTATCTGGGTATTTTTGGAATAAGGACAGCAGCGGGACTTGGCAGGAAGAGACTTATTGTCAGGAATTTGCTTGTGCAGTTATGGAGGATGAGAAGTCTCAGAGCTGTAGTTAGCAAGCTGGATACACCAGAGAGCCATTTGTTTATCTCCAGTCCAAGTTCATGGGCCTGAAAACCAGGGGAGCGAGCCAAAGGGATAAGTTCTAGTCCAGAAGCCAGCAGGCTCTAGAGCCAAGCGGAGCCTACATTTCAGTTTAAGTCCAAAGGCAGGATGAAGGACCAATGCTAGAGTTCAAAGCAGTCAGGCAAGAGATCCCTCTTACTTTTGAGAGAGTCGGTCTTTTGTTCTAGTCCAGCACTGATGAGATGAGGGCCACCCACCTGGGTCTGCGCAGTCTGCTTTACTCAGTCTGCTGACTGAAATGTTAATCTCTTTCAAAAGCACCCTCAGAAACACATTTGAGATGATGTTTGACAAAATAACTGGGCACACTGTGGCTCACTTAAGTTGACATACAGAATTTAACTATTACTTTTTTTTTTTTTTTAAATTTAAGATTTTATTTATTTATCTTTAGAGGGGAAGGGAAGGAGAGAAGGAGAGAAACATCAATGTATGGTTGCCTTTCATGCATCCCCTGCTGGGAACTGGCCTGCAGGGAACCTGCCTGCAACCCCAGTATGTGCCCTGACTGGGATCGAACCGCAATTGTCTGGTTCGCAGGCCCGCGCTCAATCCACTGAGCTACACCAGCCAGAGCTAACTATTACTTATTAACTTGGCACCCACATGTATCTCTTAAAACCATACTTAATCTTCAAATAAAGATAATAAGATCGTAATTGTGTAACATGGTGCAACTATTTTACATATAACTGAAAATGAACCAACCCCTTCTCCAGAAAAGGGGGTAAAGTCTGTAACTGATGTTTACTTTTCTCCTTGCTTTCTCATAACTTAAATACTATGGTACAAATTTAACAGTAATGTTATAGATAATATACTTTAATGTTACATGATAAGGGAATAAGAAAGGGAAGAAAACGCATATACACACAGACATTCATAACAAAATACAGTGGAAATAAATACTCATGACAGTTACAGCTCTCTTTTCTATAACTGGTCATGTGGTCATAGCTGCTGTTTGTAACTACCTTCTTCTGCTCATTGTGTATTCCTTCTGCCTTCAGCAAGCACTCCACTGGCCATAGTTCTTTACCTGGTGTCGGGGTACAAACCTTTGTGAAGGACCTGAGCCATTAGCAGACTAATATTCAGTTAAAATGACCACAGCCGACCCAACAGCCAATATTATACCTATTTTTTTCTCAGATTGGCAAAAAATATATTTTTTGGTGTCCCACAAAATTTTAGTAATTAGTTTATGTGTGCTATGAGATGAAAAATGTTGGAAGGTCTATAGTTATTATGCTTTGTTTGATGTAATTAATTTCTACATAGGATTTAATTCAAATTAATGCAACTTTATTTCTTGGCTGGCTTTGTGGTTGCCATCATCACAAAAATTGCAATACTACATGTGAAGTATAGGACTTCATTCACCAATAAATTTAGTATATTTTGTTGCTTGGGTTTTTTAGTATGCATTGATATGAATCTGTTTCTTTTTAGCCATGTGATTTTTGTACTCAATTTTACTCCATACAGATTTCTTCTCTTACCAAGCCACTTTAAAATTGCCTTCAAAAATAAAACTAAAAAGTAAATAAAATTACTTTCAGTACATGCATAAGGTAATATGATTTAGTTTTCCTAAAACATTTCTTTGTAATATTTGGATGTTCGTGTATACGAGTAAATATGGTAAATGACTTACCCAAGTGGTATAACTAACACTAAAATCAACATTTCCTGATTCTTCATCCAGTAGTGTTTCAGAGGATGAAGAAAAAGAAAATGGATGGCTTGCTAGAGTAATAGGATTCTTTTTCTTTTTAAAAAGTTTTTTCATCTGCAAAATAAACATCCTTGTTTGAATGCTATTAATAAATTGTTTAGTAAGGCCTAGTCAACTTGATTGCTCATTGGTAGATAATTTAAATGGTCATGTGTAGTTTTGTATGTTTAAATGTTAATCTGATTAGTTAGCTCCTTTTCTGCTTTCCAGACATAAATTACTTTTCTCTGTTGAAGTGACGGTTGTGCATCCATAATTTTTTTAAATGATATATTTTTTTCCATTACCATTTAGTTCCCCCCCACAGTCACCACATTGTTGTCCATGACCATGAGTCCTTTTTCCATGGTTTCTTTTGTGGCCGAAATCTACAAGGTTATCTGTCATCTAAGGTGTCATTATATTAAAATCTGAGTTAACCTTTCTTGAATGTGACAGTCCTATGATAGCATAGTTTTGGGGAATGCTTTCAGAGACTGGTTGTTTTCTATTTGCTTCTGATTTTCTTTCTTACCCGTATTCTGCTTTTTTTTTCTTCCAGCACTTACAACCTCTTATTCTGTAGTTCCTGTGGGATTCCCATTGGTTTCCATCTGTATTCTACCCATGCTGCCCTGGCTGCCTTGAGAGGACACTTCTGCCTTTCCAGTGACAAAATGATGTGGTGAGTAGACTTAGATATTCTTTTTTATTTTTTTTAAGAATTTATTTATTTTTAGAGAGGGGAAGAGAGGGAGAAAGACATCAATCAGTCGCCTATCCAATGTGCCCTGACCAGGAACCAAACCCACAACCTAAGCATGTGCTCTAACTGGGAATCAACTGGCAATGTTTTGCTTTGCAGAGTGACACTCAATCAACTGAGTTGCCCTGGTCAGGGCAATTTCTTAATCTTTAAAGTGAGTTGGACCCAAAGGTCTGTGTAGTCTTTTTAATTAAGTAGAAATTGGGAAAGTATAGATAGGTAGCATGAGTCTGGGAAGATAGTAAATCTATACCTGTGTGTATCAAAATGAATTTGGTTGCCAGTCACAGAAAGGCTAACAGTGGCTTTCACAACTCAGGGTGGGGGTGTTTATCCACTCTGGGAGTCTTCTAGTGGCTCAGCCATGACAAGGCTCTGGGTTGGCATCACTGCCGGAATTATCCATAGACAGCAGCCTCCCCACCTGGAAGGAAAAGGATAAGGGAAGTATGGGAATATAGGGAAAGGTCTTCTTTTATCAGCAAAATAATTATTGGCCAGAGCTATGTCACACGATTTCCTTAAGCTGGGTAAACAAGTCTGTGGAAATAGGGAACAAAATTGCCATAGTTGGCTTAGAACAATTATGGTTCAGCTCTAGGACAGAGTGCACTGCTGCCCTAAACAGAGTCTTGGCTCCATTAACACCAAAGAACTGAGGAATGGCTTCTGGATAGGCAACCAACAGTTGTCATGTGATTATTTTTCTTCTAACCGTGCTGCAGTATCTACTGTAGAGTGGGAAGCTTAGACTCCTCACGATTATGTGATCCTGGTTTTTGTCTAGTTTTTCCTGGGATAATTTTGTCTTGTGTATTCCTGGCTAGCAAGGGCTGGGATGAGGAACTTGGCTTGCTGATGGCTTGTTACTTGAGAATTTGTTTTTCCTACATGATACATTATGAATCTTGAAGTGAAAATCAGTAAGAAGGCAGTCTTTACTTGACAGATATTGCCTGAGAGGGCAAGTTTGGTTCATTGATAATCTGAACTATAATACAGTACTAAAACTTTGTTTTCTGCCTAGCTACCTCTTAGAAACGAAAGCCATCGTAAGTGCATCTGAGGTGGATATTCACAACATGCCTCTACCGGAAAAGATTGCAGAGGTAAAATTTCATAATTGTTGTATGTTTCCTTTAATCTAGACAACTCCTGATAATTTCTACTAATAAACTTGGAGGCGATGAAGTGATGTGATACTCGAACTATTCTTTTTTTTCCTCCCCCCAGCAGTTCTTTATACTTGCTTTGACATACCTTATTGAATTTGTGACACAGCAAAATATTAAAGTCCTGTTGAAAGGTCTAGTTCAGGGGAAGCTGGAAAGCCACTCCACTCCCTCGTTCCTCTACTCTCTGTCCTGTGCCAGGAGTGGATGCTGTCATCGTGCACAGATCTGTCCTCTTTGCACATGACATATACTTAGATGTCTTAGAGGAAAGAGTGGTAAAATGACCATTAAGAATTCTTATTTAAGCCCTGGCTGGTGTAGCTCAGTGGATTGAGCATGGGCCTGTGAACCAGACAATCGCAGTTCGATTCCCGGTCAGGGCACATTCCTGGGTTGCAGGCCAGTTCCCTGCAGGCCAATTCCCAGCAGGGGATGCATGAAAGGCAACCATACATTGATGTTTCTCTCCCTCTCTCCTTCCCTTTCCCTCTAAAGATAAATAAATAAAATCTTAAAAAAAAATAATAATAATTCTTATTTAACTTCTGGCCAAGATGGAGGCGTAGGTGGAAACACTGTGTCTCCTCGCACAACCAAGTTTAAAGACAACAAAGTTTTAGTAACAAAAATGCAACCAAAATACAGAAATTTGAACTGTATGGAGGTCCGACAACAACAAACCATTCACCCAGACCGGTAAGAGGGGCGGAGTCATCAGCTGGCAGAGTAGGTTCATACAGGAAAAAGTGGTCAGACTGACCCAGACGCGCAGGTGTTGGTTGGCAGATCCCAGGTGTGGGGTGGCAACAGGCAGACCCAGTGAGGGCGCAAGGTGGCTGGCTGACTGCAGTCACACATTCGCGCTCAGATAAACCAGGCAAAGGAGTGAGCAGGGAGACAGACCACGCAGGCTAGGGCCCCAGCGATGGGAATTAAAGCCTAAAAGCACTAGTTGGAAAAACTTTCAGGGTCGAGGTGCTGGGAGAAGCTCCCAGGCTCACAGTTTGTTGGAGAGACTCACGGGGTACTGGAGGGTGCACAGGCCCACACACCCAGGAGCCGGCACCAGAGGTGCCAGGTTTGCTTGCGAGAGACAGCAAAGGGGACCGAAATCCGAGAGAGCAGAACAGACGCCATTGCCCCTCTCTGACCTCACAACCCAGCAACCCAGGTGTTCACACTGGTGAACACCTAAGGCTCCACCCCTCTTACATAACAGGCACGAACAGACCAAAACATTATGGCTCAAGAAGAATAGCTCGAAGCCCCAGAGCCAATAATTCTCAGCAACCAAGAGATAGCCAACCTATCAGATGCACAATTCAAAACACTGGTGATCAGGATGCTCTCAGAACTGGTTGATTTTAGTCACAAATTAGAGGAACAAATGAAGGCTAAACTAATCGAAATGAAGGGAAATGCACAGGAAACCAATAGTGATGGAAAGGAAACTGGGACTCAAATCAAGGGAGTGGACCAGAAGGAAGAAAAAAATGACCAAACAGAAAAGAATGAAGAAAGAAGAATTAAAAAAAAAGGAGGAGAGGTTTAGGAACCTCCAGGACATCTTTAAATGTTCCAACATCCGAATTATAGGGGTACCAGAAGGGGAAGATGAAGAGCGACCAGTGGAACACTTATTTGAACAAATAATAAAGGAGAACCTCCCCAATCTGGCAAAGGAAATAGACTTCCAGGAAGTCCAGGAAGCTCAGAGAGCCCCAAAGCAGTTGGACCCAAGAAGGAACACACCAAGGCACATCATAATTACATTAGCCAAGATTAAAATGAAAGAATTCTAGAAGCAGCAAGAGATAAGGGGACAGTCACCTACAAAGGAGTTCCCATCAGACTGTCAGCTGATTTCTCCAAAGAGACCTTCCAGGCAAGAAGGGGCTGGAAAGAAGTATTCTAAGTCATGAAACCCAAAGACCTACATCCAAGATTGCTCTGTCCGCCCAAGCTTTCATTTAGAATGGAAGGGCTGATAAAGTGCTTCTCAGATAAGATCAAATTCAAGGAGTTCATCATCACCAAGCCCTCATTATATGAAATGTTAAAGGGACTTATCTAAGAGCAAGAAGTTAAAAAATATGAACAGTGAAAGGACAGTAAACTCACAATTAAGAACCACACCTAAAACAAAAGCAAACTAAGAGGACAGCTAGATCAGGAGTGGAACCATAGAAATGAAGATCACATGGAGGGTTAGCAACAGGGGAGTGGGAGGAGGAAAAGCGGGGAGAAGGCACAGAAAATAAGTAGCATAGATGGTAGGTAGAAAATAGGGGGAGGGCAAAAATAGTATGGGAAATATAGAATCTAAAGAACTGGAGACACATGGTCATAAAAGGGAATGGTGGGGAAGGGGTGTGCAGGGGGGAATGGGACAACTGTAATGGCATAATCAATAAAATATATTTTAAAAAAATTCTTATTTAAGTGGGTTTTTACTAGTGGTTGATGGTTTTGAGTTAAAGCAACTTTGTTTTGGTAGCTTGTCTCTTGGTGGAAATTTGGTTATAATTTTACTACCTGCAGAAAAATTTGTTGATTTTGTTCTTAGAAGTGTTAATAGTTTATTCCTTGCTAGTTACACATTTAACAGGGAATCAGATGGAATGCAGTTGCTAGTGTTTTGCTTTGTGTCACAAATTCAATAAGGTATGTCAAACCAAGTTTAAAGAATTGTGGTAAAAATTAGGAGACACAAAGTATGACCCATACACAGAATAAAAAGCAGGCATCAGAAACTACCTTTTAAGTGGCCCAAATATTGGACTTAGAAGGAAAAGCCTTCAAAGCAGCTATTATTAGTTGGCCCCAAAAACTAAAGAAAACCATGCTTAAAGAAGTAAAGGAGCTTTTTTGGCCAGAACTTCCATCTTTTATTAATTTGCCAAAACGATTGAGACAAAGGGAAAGAGGAGAGGTACCCACTCTGTGTTCTCTAGGCCTTTAAGAAAACAGGGAGTTGCTCCTCTGGCCACATACATGAGAATCTACAAGAAAAGTGATATTGCAGGCATCAAGGGAATGGGCACTGTTTAAAAAGGAATGCCCCAGAGACATTCCCATGGCAAAACTGGAAAAGTCTACATGGCCACCCAGCATGCAGTGGGCACTGTTGTAAACAAACAAGGGCCATGTTCTTGCCAAGAGAGTTAATGCACATATTAGCATATAAAGCTCTCTAAGAGCCAAGATAGCTTCCTGAAACAGGTAAAGGAAAATGATCAGAAAAGGAAGGACACTGAAGAGAAAGGTACCTGGGTTCAGCTGAGGCCTCAGCCTGCACCACCCAGAGGAGCAACACCGCGTGAGAACCAGTGGGAAGGAGCCTGGGCTGCTGGAGCCCATCCCCTAGGAGTTCATGGCATGATGAGTGTGGAAAAGTAAAAGGCTTCTGTATTGATTTTTTTCCAAAAGAAAAAAATGTAAGGCGACCATGTCTCATTAAATAGAGAATATCCCTGTGCTGGTTAGGTGGCTTAGCTGAAGAGTTTTCCAGTACACCAGAGGTTCAGTCCTCAGCTAGGGTGCGTATGGGAGACAACCAATTGATATTTCTCTCTGTTTCTCACCCTTTCTCCATCCCTCCCTTCCTCTCTTTATCTAAAATCAATAAATATGTCCTCAAGTGAGGATTCAAAAAAAAAACCCCAAAATAGAGAATATCCCTAAAGAGAGAGGAATTATAAAAAATACATAATAAAAATTTTATGAGTTGAAAAGTACAATAGCTGAAACAAAAGATTCACTAGGGGGCTCAGTTGAACTGTTCAAAGAAAGAATCAGCTAACTTGGAGATACAGACTGATGATCTCATGCAGTCTGAAGAGGAGAGAAACTGAACAGAAATGAACTGAATGAACCTAAGAGACCTGCTGGACATATCAAGTACACATAAATACACTGGTAATGAGGCTACAAATCGGAGAGGAGAGAAAAACTATTCTCTCCTTCTATCAGCAGTAGAAAAACTGTTCAAGGAAATAATGGTTGAAAAATTTTCAAATTGATGGGAAACATGAATCCACATATTTGCAAGCTCAAGAAGGATAAATGCAGAGACCTGTACCCCAGCACATCATAGTAAAAGTGTTGGAATATACACTGAAAATAATCTTGAAAGGAGAAAAAAAAATTATCCCATCCAAGAGCACCCCAATAAGATAATAGCAAATATTTTTATTAACCCTGACTTCAGCAGAAGGCTGTTATTCATTATTCTGTATTCCATGATAAATTTATAAGTTTATTGAGTCTAAGTACATACCGCATGCTGAGTACACCATGATGTTAGATTCTAAATACAGCTACTTTAAGGTGCAAGAACTATTGAAAATTAGTGAATTGCAATAAATATCTCTTCTAAACCTGGGAAGCAGAGCTACTTTTGATCATTAGCAGAATATTAAAGTCATTTTTTTTGTACTATGAACAGAGTTAGAAAAAATATGTATTCTTGCCACTGGAAAAGGAAAGGAAGACTAGTTGATGCTTCTCTCCACAAGTTCTACTTTATTCTTGTCTTCTCAGTTTTTGGAGTTTCAGCCTGATGATAGGATTAGGCAAGGAGGAGACAAGCAGTGATGTTCAGCAGCAATAGATGGTCTTTTTTCATGTGAAACTTTGTATCTGAGTATCTTATTGTACTCTTATATTTATATACATTTCTTTTGGAAATAGAACAAATGTATTAATAAATGTGTTGAAACACTGCCAGTTCCCAGTAACTAGCTTGAATTTGAAATGACTTCTAGAATCAGCAAATTGAGAGATAAGTTCATGATGCCCTGATATGTGTATATTTCTCTCCCCAGCTGAAAGAGAAGATAATGTTAATGCATAGTCACTTAAATTCACTGATGGAGATGTTGAAGGAAGTGGCTCCTGACCAGTCCAAGGCAGAAAACTGATCCAGAACCAGAGTCTGAGTACCAGGGTCAGGCCTTACTGCTATCTTCAAAAAACAGGTGCTGTGTGATAATTTCTTGAGAAAGATTGACTTCAAGAATGGACAGCAAATACAGTTTATTATGTTTACCTCTTTGCTGATTTTCCAAGTGATCTGTGAAGCTGTTTCTCGAAGATGAGAAACTAAGGAGACTTCTGTCCAGGTTTCATAGCTATTTGCCTTCAGAAATTATTTTAGCTTTCTTACCAGTTTCATAATAATTTCTTAAAACATCTTCAATTTCACATTTAGGGATTAAGAGGCAGTGTGCCGTGCTCCGATCTAAAGAGGCTTGTGAAAATAAAGTACTTAATGCTGACTATTGTGATTCCTACATGGAGCAGTTATATGAATACTGACAGTCTTTTTTTTTTAATGTAAAATATAGGTATATACATATTCTATAGATAATATTCAATAAGTTGGACAATACACAATTTTTCACTTTTCAATTAGAAGCTGAGTTTAATAAGGTAATGAGTAATAAATCATTAGACATTCACCGAAATGCTATGGGGCTTTTTTGTATTTGGCTGTACATAGCACTTTGGCTCACAGCAGCTGTAGTAAGGGTTCGAAGAAAAGGGACATAGAATTACAAGCACACGTAGCAGGTAACTGAACTGGCCTCGGGGGTCAAGTGAAGTTTCAGCGGTGGTCTGAAAGGCAAGTAGGAGTTAACGAGGTGGAGGAACAGCCTATTCAAAGGCCCTGTAAAGCTCTTAGAAGAAGTCCTGCAGCAGTTCTGGTAGCCAGAGACCAGAATGTGCAAGGTCTTGCTGGACTCTGGAAGGCTGTTTGTTTTTATCCCAAGAGTAATGAGAAACCCTGGAAGAATTTTCAGAGGACTGTGGCAGGCTCAGATCCTGAGAACCTCTTGATGGCTGTCCTGTGGAGAATGGGTGGGAGGGGCTAACACTGGCACAATCAACACATGGGACCAAGGGGTAGTGCTTAGAGAAGTTAACTTGGTTCAGATGTAGCTAGATTTTTTTAAAAGCAGATTCTTTCCATTTTATACTGCAAAAGGATATTTCCTTTGAAATATTTTAAGTTGTTGAAAATTCTGATTTGCTTTATGCTTTTGAGTTGCAAAATCTGGCTTTGTAAGCAAGGGTGTAAAGCCTCTGGCAACAAACAGTATCAGAAAATTAGCACTATATTGAATCGTCTGAGGTTTTTTACTGTATGTCGGTCTATCTGTCTCAAAATATTTCCTTGATCTCAATTAAAAAGCTGTTCTTATGTAGGTATTTTCTTTAACTTCTGGATCTGCCATTTGGTAGACTTTCAACAGAAAATTAAATGCTTGAACCTGACATCAAATTAAGCTGGCTGGTTTTAAAGAGACTTTTTTTTCCAAATGCAAATTATATGCTCACTTAGAAAACATGCAGGTATAGGTATGTGACAAAATTAAGCCTGTACACGTTCCCTTTCCATTTTTGAGAGGCATGATATAGCATGCTGAGAAGTGGGCAAGCTCTGGAGCCAAACAATTTGGTTTCAGATTGTGCCCTGGATACTTACTAGCTATGAACTTGAAGAATTGACTGAAGCCATTCTTGTAAAATAGGGATTAAAAACTAGGGATATAGTGTGGATTTAAAACAAGTTAATGAATACACCTAAGATAATCAGTGTAGGGAACTGCCCTGCCTGGGTTCAGAAGCTGTAACCCCCCTGCCCCCACTACGGCTAAGGCTGAATAAAGGACCTTGGGACCATAAGCCACTAAGGACACAAAGCTTATCTTCCTGGCAAAGGTGCCACCTCTGCCCCTTTTACTTCACCCTGCTTGGCCCCGGGCAGATGACTGTTTAGCCAATAACAGGTAAGATTCCTTAAGGGAGGGTTGACCTAAGACAGGCATGTGATCAATGTGGAGGCCCTCAAGGAAGGACTTGGGGTTGTACAGAAAAAGAGGGTGATGAATCCTCACCCCTTGGCTTTTACATAGCCTGAGTCCTCATTCTGTCTTTGAGAAGTCTCCCAATCTCTTAGCTGCCTTACTTCCCCTGCCTAATTTAAGCCTGAAACAAAGACAGAGGGTGGTGCAGCCCTGGGCAAGCAGAGCGGTCCCCCTGGGGCAATTAGCCCTAAGAAGGAATGCATAAAATCCTGTGAAACCTGTTTTGCTAAGAATGCCCTCGATTTTCTGGTTGAGGGTCCCAGCATGAAATGAGTTTCCCAAAGTTTTATAGCCCTCTAGCTAACTGATCCTGATCCAGAATAAGCCCTCACAGTTCTTTGTATGTTGTCTAGTTCTTTGTATGTTTGATCACTACTGCCTGACAATGATTGATGAACTTTATCTGTATTCCTATGCAAATCGAACCCAATAAAAGCCCATTGAAGAACAGGCTCAAGGCCCTTCTCTGAGAGACTGGCCACCTTTCCTCCCTCAGCAGATCACGTCTTGGTAGACTTATTCTTATCTGTGATGGTTGGGGAGGTGCTGCTGGGAAAAGCTCCCCCACAAATCAGAGCAATGCTTGGTATAGTAAGTGCTCAATAAACTAGCTATTACAACCTTCATGTGTGTGGATATACATATACAGGCATAAAGGCAATTATATTTTTAACATTATACTGCAACCTGCTTTTCACACAATAAATGTCATGGACAACTTTCTCTAGCAGCCCATATACAAATTATTTCATTCATTTTTATTTTTTTAAATTTTTATTTTATTGATTATGCCATTACAGTTGTTATTTCATTCATTTTTAACATTAACTCAGTAATACAAATATATCAGAATTTAATCATTCTTATAGTCGATCCTTGTATATATGTGTATCTGTACTGATATTTCTGTAAGAGTGACTTTTAAAGTAGTACAGTGTCAAAGGACATGTGCATTTACAATTTTGATATTACTCCTTTCATAAATGTCATACTAGTTGATATTCTCACAAGTAGCTGACTTTTTAAATGTGCTTTAGGTAGTGTAAGAGCCCCTCTCAGAGTCGAACAAACATTGATGATAGAGTGGCTGACACTAACAGATTCTAAGGCTACTTTACTAAAGTTTGATACCACGTATCATTGTATATTGAATAAAAGTAGTTTCAAGAGTCCATGTAACTGTAAGAATAAACCTGCATACTGAAGGTCCCTGAGTTTTAAACTCAAAAGCTCCTTAATTAACAGCAGAAACCATCTTCATTATTGTAAGCCCAATATCTAGCAGAGTACCTGGGAACGAAATGTTATCAGTAACTGTATGTTAAGTGAATAGTCTCATAAATCAAAGGCACTATTAAATTAGTCACACCATAAAAAAAAAGCACACAGCTTTTGTTCCTCTACATTTATAATATTCAATCCCAAAGAAATCTGTAAGGTCTGATTTTTTACTTTTCACTTGAAAAAATTCCTTTCACCTGAATCAAGATGGATCTCTTCTTGTAGTGTTAAAACATCTTTAGTTTTAACTTAGCCAACATTTCAATATTACAAGGTCTTAAATGCTTTATGTATTTCAGGTAGGAACGATTCCCTGCAGTGTTGTCATTACTGTACTTAGGTCACTATTTCTTCACCAGAAACATTTGCTCACAGATCTAGCATAAGTCTGGCCCCAAAGAAGGGAATGGAGCAAGTTTAAATGGTATTCCTCTCAGTGTTTTGTCCCTTTGGGAGCATGCCCCCACCTTTTCCTTCCTTGTCTTCTTCCTAAGCTCCAAAGACCTTTCTTTTGCCTCTGTGACCTATGCAGCCCAGATGCCTCATTTCTATCTCTGTAACTTTCTAAATAAACATTCTCTTACAACTTGAAAATAAATAAATGGGATGCCTCTTTCTTCAGATGGTTGTCTGTTCCTTTGGACACTGGAAACCACAGGTACCTGGAGCCTGGACCTCAGCACAGGTTTGTGGATAGGTTCCTTTTCCCATCTCCATAATTTATGGCATCATTAGAAATGACCCATTCCAAGTAACAACACAGTGAAATTTTGGTGCATTCTCAGCCCATGCTGCTTTATTGCCAAAATATACAGAGAGGTGCAGAGTTTCCAACTCTTAAAACAGTTCCTTTTTACATCAAAGAATAAAATCTTTTCTAAAATCCCAAAGATGCATAGATTAAAAAGCAAGCTGCCTTTTGTAATACTTTAACATTCAATGAAATTCTTTTAACATTATCGTCTATACCAATGGTGCAAGGGAGAAAATGCAGAACAGCAAGTAAAAACAGCAACAACTGTACTCAACAGGACAGTACATAAAATTCTATGTGAAGGGTACTCTAATGGGAATCTTAAATGACAAGTGATGAGTAATTTTAGGGTAAGCCCTAAAGTGATTACTGTTGTTTAAGGACTGATAATGTATTGCCAGAATATCTTTCTTATCCCTGGGAGAAAAATAGATTTCAATCAATGGCATGGCAAACCATCACAACAGGACACAAAATCTTCTGAAGACTCTTAGTAACCCTAAAATATCTATTTTGAATTAAAAGGAAGCTTAGGTATATGGACTTGTGGAGAAACCTGTGATGTCTGTTTTCCCAGTAACTTTTAATATGCCTTAGTGGAATAATGGGAGAGCAGCTTAGAGAAACTCGGTCCTTAAATCTTCACTGGTTTCACTGGTTGACAGGCACGTTACTAATACATGGCAAAGAGAAGATTTACACATGGGATATGACATCTCACTTCCTGTATTTGAGTGGAGACCAGATATTGCAATGATGTTAAACTTACCCATCCCCAAAAGGTACTGAGTGAAATCCCACAGCTAAGTGTCTAGTCTAATCCTGTTTAGGCCTCTTTCAGATATAATTAACCCATTTACATTAACCCATTTACATATGTATCCATCATTTACAAGGATTATTCCAAAGTTAGGAATCATCTAAAAAATGTTAAGCTACCATAATAAACAAATATGAAAACTTGCTCCTGTTTGGCTGGTATCAAAAGCTTTAGGCAAGAAATGCCATCTGATCAAAGTAGCAAGAATAAAACTCTGGTTGTTAAAAAAAAAAGTTAATGTAATACAGTAACAAAAGAGAAACTAACCCACAAGTATGTTAATATTTTCAGGACTATTTTCACAAAATGGAGCAGTTTCTTTCCTGCTGGGATCCTTCTTGGATACCATACCACTAACTACCATCCAGAAAGTAGCCTAGTTATCTGGAAATCCGGAAACATGAAATATGTGCACACTGCCTCTATTCACTTCCAAGATCCTAGTTATGAGATGCAAATTTGAGCCACATAAACTTTATCAGACAAACCCCTATCTAATTATTTTACATACTCCACACTTATATTCCCTACTTCCCTATTCTTTCTGAAACTCTGCACCCGATTACTATAGCCATAGTTATATTTATTTAATTCCACATGCTTAGTTTGTGCCTTTTATATTGTTTTAAAACATGCTTGGGGACTAAGGGAAACAGGCAAGAGGTTAGAGGGTGATGAGCACTGTTATGCTCTATTCCTGACTGAATGTCTTACAGTTACTCCTGTTTATCATCTAGCTCCCATTTTCAATGGAAGTTAAGATCATCTTTAATTAGAAACTGAAATCTAATGATCCAAATAAATTCAAGCTACTGGTTTAAGTCTATTGCTTCATTATTAATTAATAAATGCATATATATATAATTACTAGTAGCCACGTAATACTGGACATTTTGAATCAGTCATGCATTAGAATATCAGTACTCTAAAATCAAGAGTTATAGGCCTGCTACTATCTCTTGCACTTTCATCCAGACCCAGTTTTAATAAACATGCAAAGTAAATCCCTTGATTCAGAGGAATTAGAAACAAGGATACATGCAAAGTTTTAATCAAAAATGGGGGTTAATAAAGTAATTGCTTAGAAATGCAGGCAGGTGCTCCACATCTATCACAATGCTGCTTCAGAATAGAGGTACAAAAGTCACAAAATTTAAAATTAGGACCACTATTCAGTTATAAAAGGCTTAATTTCAAATCCTGGTCCTTCTGGATAGAGAATGATGTAAAAACTCTGGGAAAAGAAAGAGAATTGAGATGCACAGTCTTCTGGAGCAGTAAGTTTCTTGGCCTTTTGACTGCTGTAGCATAGAGGAGCATAAGTGGTGTAGGGATGGTAAAGGTGCTCTTAGAATGGTTTCTTCTTTAATTCATATTAAGAGCATTACCTGCACAGCTCCCGGGGGAAAGGAGTTTATGAACAGCAGAGTTAATACAATGTAAACGCAAAAATCAATGCCCTGAAATTTAGCATAGCCCTCTGGTTTTGAGAACAGTTGGTCAAGGGATCCTTCCAAATATGGTATGATTAATAGCCAAGCAATGTTCTGAATAAACTAGAAGTAATTTGCTTGCACCAGCAGCACCATGATAATGTAAACTCCTGGAGAACAAGGGTCTCTTCATATTTTGCATATCACAGGTACACAAAGAGTAAACATGAGACCACAACACTGAAAGTAATTAATTGTATACTTTGAAACTACAAAAACTTGTAGCACATTTTAGCATTTGGAACCACTGATGTGGCTGTTAAGGGTAAGCTTTAATTGTTCTAAGAAACTAAACTGTTGACATCACAGTAATACACCTGGTGTCCTCATGATCATGCGGATGTGTGAATATTGCTTGGTTATTCCAATGTCTCCAACACCAACTGATGGCGTGGAACATTTAAAGAGGGGCTATAATCAATTTACTATAGCCTCCCTATCCTTTGGAGTTGCCATATAAGAATTAAATATTCAAGAGGCACTATTTTCTTAGATCTTCTCCATTTATCTTTTAGTTTTTTTCTTCCCCGGGAAAAACCAGGGAACAGAGACCAAGTCTTCTCAGGGTTGTCTTCAAGGTGCTAAATGGCCAAGATGACATGAGGTAAAAGGGAGTAAGAAGTCATCATCATTCCACTTTTTCACTATTATATCCGGATGTGAGTTCTAAGCTTGTTCAGATCAAGAACTAGTCTGCTGGGTTCCCATTAAAATAAGTAGTTACAGGCCACAGGCCTAGCACATCTATATTAGACAAGGTTTAAAAAACAAACATACTGTCTTTGGCTATTCCCTTCAATCCTTTTGTTTTACATCTTTAAATCTTAACTCCCCTAAACTAACCATAGGTCAGCTAGCTATCCAAGTTCTTGTTCTTTTTAACCCTAAATACATATACACAACAAACTTTTCCTTTTTTAAAAGTGCACCCAGGAAACTAATGAAGAAAGATACGGTGACAAAACAGAAAGTATACTGTTAGCCTGATGCTTAAAAAAAAAAATCATAAGCAAAAGCCCACATGATGGCTTCAGTGGGATTTCATCAGTAAGTGTACATTTATTTCCAGGTTAAGCACTAGAAAAATTTCATTCAATGGCTCTAACCCTCTGCTCTAGGAAACCAATAAGGTCTTTAACCTTTAACTTACACAAAGTTGCTATTTCTCACTGATATATTCACATACATTCATAGTTTTAAAAGTACCTTTTATATGCTCTTTATCTAGAACATCCTTTTGTGCAACTCTGTTAACCACAGAGCATCACAAACTCTAGT